TCATTTAGCTAATTTAGCATTGACTCCTTTGGTCTATTATTTTGCTAGCTAAAAAGCAGTAGTCTCTACTTCATTTTAGTTAGCAAAATAATAGAGGATCTTAATTTCATTGCTAATAAAGGAATGGAAAGCAAATAACAAAAAAAAAATTAAATGTGCTTAGGTGTTCATCCAAGATGTAGCTATATGGAGTTTCATCACATTAAACCAGCCAGAACAAGTTCTGTGGTGTATTTTTCCTTATCATGCCAAAGTTCATTGTTGGACCTGAGTATGATTCGACTGTATGTGCAAAGCAATTGTTATAATGAATTTGCTCAGCTCAAAAACAATGAAACAAATCCCTAATGTCTGTGCTCAATCCACAGAAAGCTACAAGGAAGACAGATAAAGTTCAAAAAGAGGAGTTGGACGTTTCCAGTTTGACTGATGAAGGCTTGAAGGTTCAGCTCTTAAAGTATGGAATCAATCCAGGTCCCATCGTTGGTGAGTTTTCTGTTTCAGACTGATGGTGAAAAAATGTTAAAAAGTTGTGTGGTGAGATGTTGGACCTGTTCTCATTAAATGGAAACTGTATTGTCAGTTTCACTTTACCTAAGAAACAGCGACATGCTGGAATGCTTTCAGCGCAAGACAAGCACAGTCTGTCTCATTTGTATGTCTATAAATGTTACTTTATTAATGATGTATTTAAAGCGCTCACTTACGGCAAGACATATAGTGTTTGCAAAATGTCACAGCACAAGTGTTTTTTTGTGATTTTGCTGTTCCATGTATGATAGTTTCGACTCGTAAACTGTATGAGAAGAGACTTCAAAAGTTGTTAGATCAGCCTCCGTCGGAGACCAGGCCACCAGAACCCGAGACTGCCGTTCCAGAGACGGTTACCTTGAAGGCTGATGGAAATCAGAATGGCAACACGCACTCAGTGGAGGATCAGTACAGTGACAAAGAAGAAGGTAAGAATATTCTGAATGTGTTTACATTTTTATGTAATAACAACTAATTGCCTGTATAGGACCTCTGGCATTTAATAAAGCTGCTGTTAAATCACAAAAGGAATATCAATCGAGAGTGGCTGGTCCATGTTAATGGGATACAGTTCTTTTCTTGAAAAATAACAAAAAAGAGGAACTGTGATGGTGTTGTAATTAAACAGGAAGTGCCAACTTAGGTATTGTTTTTAACCTATATTTATAGAACAAGAACAAATGCTATTAAAATCTCTTTATGCACTAGCTTTAGTAATAGAATCTAAACAAGTATAGATGGATTCTTAACATTTTCAGAGCTGGTTGAAATTCTTGATTTATGGCTGTTATTTTTTGCCGTTTCTGTTTTTTTGCTTTGTAGATGTTGTTGAAGCAGATCCAGAACCAGAGCCAGTTCCCATAGCGAGCAAGCCAGTAAGAAGCAGAGGGAAAACTCCTGTTACCTCCAGGACAAGCAGCAGACAGCGCAGCAAGGTAAAGCCTAATGCAGCATTAATAGGTTAATAAGAACATTTGTTTCATTGACCAATGAGGCATACCTCTTCTGTCTGTTCTGAATGGTTAGAAAAGAGAGGTGTTGATATTGATTCTGTTAGCAGACACTTTTATCCAGAGTTTTTATTTTGATCTTGTCAGGATGATATAAGACTGAATGCAATGCAACTTGAGTTACTTAATTCTGATTCTGGTCTGTTCTGTCATACTGCAGTGTGATTTCCTTGGTACTTTAAATAAACAGAACCATTGCTTTACTTAACTACTTGTATCTTGTTAGCAGGTGGAGGACACAACGGCAGCTAATAAGCAAGCAGATTCTGTGGACGGTCATGATATTTTAAGAGACTTGTTCCCTAATGAGCCTGCTACACCAACAGGCATTACGTGAGTATATCTAAATCATCTAATTTTAACACAGCCACATCTGCAATTTAGTTTGCAAATAGGGGCCTTATCCAAAATTAATGAAATTATCCAGCGTTATGGCTGTTATGCTAATGATGCACAGATTTATATCAGTAGTCGCTGTGCTACAGTACATTCATTCATTACAGTACATTCAAAATTCTGCAGCTAGAGTGCTCACACACACCAAACTGAAATGTCTGTATCATCCTAATCTTCTATGACTTAGCCTGGTTACCAGTTACTGCACATATACAATACAAAATACTTATTTCAGTGTAGTGCCACCTAAAGTCTAGTGCAAAGTCCCATAGAGTTTTCATAGCATCTCCTCCATCTCAGCCTTCAGAAAGACTTTTTTTTTTTTCCCCCTCTGTCCTATCCGTCTCTTTCTGATGTTATCTAGCCAAATCATGTATATTGCTGTCTTCCCCTATTGTGTTCTGTTTTGTTTCATCATAGATTTGTTCTAATTTTATTGTCTGTTGTGTCTGCATTGTATTGTCCTTTTATCTCACCCTACATGTATTATTCTTGTTTTGTAAGACACTTGTGATCTTGTGAAAGGCACACGATATTATTATTATTATTATTATTATTATTATTATTGCATTATTAGCATTAGTATGTGGCAGTGTATATGCATCATTTTGTTAAGTGGCACAGCAATATCACCACCATGATTATTATCAGCACAAAACTTTATGTTCTATTAACCAGCATTTATACATACACATAATTACCTGTTATCTGCCTGTACAGTGCTACTTGTCGGAGGCCGATCCGTGGGGCAGCTGGCCGTCCGGTGAGGCCGCTGGATCTCTGGCCAGAGGAGTCCCTCTTGCAGCAGAGTGTGTACACAACCACCAAATCGTCCTTCACGGACAGTCGCAGTGTTCTGTCATCTAGCCCTCCTCCAGCTCGTCGCTCCTTCTCCATCTGGCTAAAACTGCTGGTGTTCCTCACGCTGGTCGGCTCTCTTTTCTACATCTTTCAGAACATGACCCCCGAGCAGATCGACCCCTACAAGCTCTTTGTACAGAACACTGTGGTCAATCCACTCCTCAGTGCTATTGGTGGTGTTGGTCAGGAAGAGAGTGGTGGTGATAAATAAGAGCCCCTCTGTCAGTGTGGGTCTACAGTGTGTGCATGAGATGTCTCTACAATGAGATTTTATTCTCAGCCCCATCTGTTTGGTTGGAGGGTCAACATGTTGACCGAGATTTTGTTGGTTGCAGTCCAACTTCGCAATCATGTCGGGAAAAACTTGTTTTACGTAGTCTTCAAACTGTGTGAATTGTGTTTTCATCTTGCTTTTTTATTTTTGCTGTTTTGTAGCAGATAATGTGACCGAATGAGAAATAGTATTTGTATAGCCTTGTATCATGGTGGAACAGTTGCCAGTATGTCTGTAGCACTTCAAGGACTACCACCCCCATTTGCTTTAAATATCAACAAACTGGTTTCCAAAAAGGTTAGTAAGTGTTAAACACAGGGGTAGTATCAGCCTAATGTGAGTTTAACATACTGGTGCATGCTGAAAAGTGATATTTTGTTTCTTTTGCATTGGATTTTTGTGAAAATTACTGTATGTACAAAAAAATGATACCTTTGCTGTTTTTGTTTATTTTAATCTGACATTATCAGGACAGGAGAAGTATGTCTTGTTTGGAAATACTGTCTCTACTTAAGCAGTTAGCTTCCATCTAAGTGTATTGTAGCATTGAAATGTGCCCAGACTACTAGAATACCAGGTCAGTTATGCAGTTTGCTTTTAGTGCCACATGTACTGGTCTTTAACAGAGCTTTGCCCACAGCTCTGCACTCTCAGGCAATAGATGGCATTGCAATGCCAGTGAAGTTTAACTGGTTTATTTTGTGGTAGATGACGACTCATTTAGTGTGTATGTAATCTAGTTGTCATGTGATGTGAAAGTATAGCTGTTGAAATGCTCAACTCTGTCATGACACTTTTGCAAAATCAAAACCACCCTGTTTTTGTTTCATTTTTCTCCCCTTGTCGAACACTGAGTATCTGGCCAAAATATAAATTGAGTTAATTTTCTGTAATTTAAAATTTTTTAAGATGGATGTATTTGCCAATCATGAAATGGCTAATTCCCTTTTATTAAGAGGAATACATATGTAATGATCTTTTATTCTGAAGTCTGCTGTTATTTTATTTTATTTTTTTTTTGTATTTTACTATTTGGAATTGAAATGTTTTTGCTTTTTTAACTGCAATATTTTTCTAATATTTTCTCTTCTAAAATTAACTTTTTAATGACAAATAAAGAGCATTCATTTAAGAAGTGCACATCAAAGTGCTGCAGTCAACATTTGTTTCTACCTGCTTTGTAAAAGGCAAAAAATGGTTTTGAAAATGGTAACAAACTTTGCACTTTGTCGGAGGGCAGCTAACAGTGAATTGATATAAGAAAAATTGGAACTTTTCTTTCTTAATGAATTTTGAGTGTTTTATCATTGGTGAAATAAAAAGATGAAAGTTGGCTCAACCATTTTGTTCTCTTTTAGTGAATCTATGTAAAGTAAATAAATATTTTGCGTCAGACAGTAATATGGCCCATATTAGTGAAACATCAAATATTCAGTTCCCTTCCATCACTTAAGATGAAAAAGAAAAAAAAAACCTTTTATAAATATGGGTCTTTATTTTCATTTATTCAAACTGTAGTTACACCTTTGACCTTCACCTGCAGTAAAGTGCAGCGACAAACGACCAGACTTAAATCTCATCTTATAAATAAATGAATATGATCTGGGCGAGTTTTACAACCGAATTATCTCAGCTAGGTAAATAATTTAAGCTGAAGTGAAATCAATAAAGCCTGTTTGAGAGAAGGTCATGGTTCTTTCTTCTAGGCAATCTTCACTCTTGGGTTTAGTTCTCCATCTTTACTGACAGATCCCTGCTTTGTGAAATACACCCCTGATTCGTGATGTTGGTGTTGCATGTTTTCAACTCGTACCTTGGTTTGGAAGTTACTCGATTACTCGTTTATTGACAGTAAGAAGGACGTTTGCTGCATTGGACTTTTACGTTATCGCAGTGTTAAGAAGCTCCGCCCACACTCTAACCTGATTGGTCGGCTGACCCGGTGACGCGGCGGCCTCCTCTCTCCGACATTAGTGAGCGCAGCGCTGATCTCGGTCTCTACGAACGGCCACCGGCAGCGGAGCAGCAGAGGCGCCATTTTGAGACTTCTTTCACATGTAAGGACTTTTTCTCCACATCACCTTCTCTCTCTTATCTTCCTTTGTAAATCACATTCCCGTGTTTGCATGCTAAACAGCCCGTCGCGCTGTCTGTGGAGAGCCAGGTTTCTTCGTTTGTCCTTGAACCGCGTTTTTTTGTCCTGCGGCTAACCGGGCCTTCATTTTCCCTCACTTCAGAGTGACCTGATAGCGTTAGCCAACCGCCGGTTAAGCTAAGCTAAATGGAGAGTATTTGTGATTGTGCACGCAAAGTAACGTTAACTTAGTCGCTGGTTGTCGCTACATTTTATTTTCTGTCATAGCGAAGGTGACTGCCGTGTAATACAGACTGTCGAAGTTCTTCCATATGGGCCAGTTTGTTTTACTGTACTAACGTTAATTCGAGACGTTATCTTCGCTCCTAGTTGCCACCAGGATGTACCCTACCACGCTAACGCAGCTGGCCCGGGCGAACCCCTTCAGCGCTCCTCTCTTCACCCTGCAGAAAGTAGAGGAGCCCTCACACACAGCCGGTGCTCAAGGACACCGCCGCAGACTCGCAGCCGCCTCTGTGGCCGGTAAGTTCACAGTAACTGATCTCGCGATCAGACACAGCTCTTATAAAATCGTGATGTTATTGGTCTTAAAGATTAAGCAACTTACTACGAGCATAACCATGTTAGAGATGTAGCGCCAGCTAACGCTAGTGATTCAAGTGAGTCTGGTAAAATGAATGAATGTTCATTGTTTTGTTTCTTACTTCTTTGACTACGTTCTGTCAAATCATTGCATTGTTGCTTGAATGGATGTGCAGGACACCGGAGGACTAACCCTGTTCGCAATAAAAAGGTCAGGAACATTAGCTAGCAAGCTAGCTAGGTTAGTTTCTGACCGGCTTGCTAGATCTGCCCCAGCTAGTGTAGCTAATTAGCTAGCTAACGTTAGCTAGGTGGTCTAGTTAGAACCGGAGCGCTCTTGTTGTTTCCCTTCATAAGCTAGTCTGCTGAGGAGTTATTTATGCGTGAGATTGCTTTGTTTTCCCTTCATGTCTAGGAAATCTGTCGTTTTTCACTTGCCAATAAGATCTTGGGCCTTGTTGCGGTTCCATGGAGGGCAGTGAAGGACGAAGTTGGGTCAACGGAGCGCGCAGTAAAGACTTGCGGGGGGAAGGTTCATTACGAACTTGCCCTCGTTGACCCGTAATATACTACTTAATATGCGAGTAAAATGTACTAAACGGTATTAAGAGAGGTGATGGACATGGTGTTCTTTTTAAAGCGTCCTAGGCACATGACCGTTATGTATACCGAGCATATTAACAACGCAGTATGCCATTGGCTCCTGTCTTGTCTCTGTATACATATCCAATATCATGTGTCCTGTAGTTGCCAACCTTCTGTAGCGTTAATAATTTTTGTGTATCCCAGGCTGTTATGTAGCAGCATTTCTTGCACATGCTACATTAATTAATTTTATTTTTATGATTTTTGTAGAAGGTTGCCATCTGGCGTGCCTTATTCCTGTCTAACGTTTCTTTTACTCAAAGAATGTTTATTGGAATCTGTTTTGCAACTTTGTTTGCTTGGTGCTTTTACACGTTTTATAGCAAAGCTATTTAAGGCTGTCCCTGTGTTCTGTTCATGTTACGCACATTTATGAAGTGTCTTGCCAGTGCTGTTAAATCATGCATATCAGACTGGGCTACTTGCTTTTTGTAGCGCTAAATGGAAAGTTTTAGATTGTTCTAGTTCAGTTTACTAGCACCCTTGATAACGTTTGACATTCAGCCCTAAAGGTCATCCTAATGACCTGCTGTTTTTAAACTCAGGAGTGTCCAATCTGATCTCCTAAAGGGCTAGTGTGGTTGCAGGTTTTTAATTCCAGTAAAGCATCATGTCTTGAGTTTGCAGCCGATTGATTAGGCAAGTAGTATCGGGAGAGCTTCTGCTTTGGAGTAAAAACCTGCCACCACACAGACCCTTTGGAGATAAGATTGGACACTCTTGCTCAAGCTTCTTTTAAAACATTCAGACAGGGGAAGTGTTGAATGAATACCATGCCTTGTTTCTCTTCAGAGGGAGACAGCTGTGAGTTTGGCTCACAGAAGTATTTCATCCTGTGTGGCTTCGGTGGAATTCTGAGCTGTGGTACCACACACACAGCGGTGGTGCCTCTTGATTTGGTCAAATGCAGGTTGCAGGTCTGTGTGTGTGTCTGCTGGAGTCCTGAGTGTATGACCCCAGCACCCCAAGCATGTTTGATATTGTCTTGTGATGCATGAGCATGTGTGTGTTGTGTTCCTCATGTAACAGACTCAGGTGATAGCTGTGAGTTTGGTTCTGGGAAATACTATGCCCTCTGTGGCTTTGGGGGCATCCTGAGCTGCGGTATCACACACACAGCTGTAGTGCCCCTGGACTTGGTCAAGTGTCGGCTCCAGGTCTGTACCCATACCCCGCTCATCAACAAATGTTACAGCCAGTTGCAGATAAATACTCACTTTTTAAGGGGGCATGATGAGGAACACTTAATTGTCCTAACACTAACACAGGCATATCATTTGTTTTGGAAAACCTTTGTGTGTTAATTGCTTTTATTGCGCTGTGTTAAATATTTCTCTTTAACTTGAAGCAGTATTTGAACTTTGACCCTTTTGGGGACTCTTTCCTGAGGTAGTGAGCAGCTGTTACTTGACCTTTGGGCAGGTGGTATTTTTAAAATGCACATAAGCAAAAATCAGTTGTCATAACAATAATGAAATTGATTATGTGACTAGCACTTGATCAGTGATGGTAAGTGAAATTAAATGTATTTTTCTCATGCCTTCTTAAATTGTGACTTACTTGTTCATTCATTTATTTTTTCTGCTTCTGGCAATATCCAGAAGAATAAATTGCTAACTATTAATGTTTGGTTTCTTTGCAACCCAGCATGTTAATACCATTTGTGAAGTAATAACATGAGTGTATTCACCATTACCAGCCAGTTCACAGAATTTCAGTGATATCACCGTGTTTTTAAGTACGTGTTCAATCAGCTGCTCTCTAACCAAATACTCTGTTTAGGTTGACCCAGCTAAGTACAAGAGCATCTTTACTGGATTCTCAGTCACAATCAGGGAGGATGGTGTGCGGGGTCTCGCTAAAGGTTGGGCACCCACCTTCATCGGCTACTCCATGCAGGGTCTCTGCAAGTTTGGCTTCTATGAGGTGTTCAAGATACTGTACAGTGACCTGCTTGGAGAGGTACGTTTGCATACATGGTAATAAGAAAACTAGTTCTCTGTTCTTAAACAATGTGTGCATCTTTTGTTGGTTGATAACTGCTTCAGTGGCACATTCTAAAAGTGACAGTACATAATGGTGTTCGTTTATCTTGAGAAATGGTTTATTTATTCTGTTAAACACCACTTCCCAAACGGAATCCCTGTGTGTGCTGAGGTGAGACCCTCAGAAGGTAGATTATGCTTGCAGACCAGATTATTAGTGCATTGTGGTTTTGTTAATGCTTAAGTTGGAAATGGCACTGTGAACATTTTCAGCTTGCTTGCAAGCAACAGGCTATCTGTAACATACCCAATCTTGGTAAGTCACAAGTTCCCAACTGTTTTCTTGGAATATCCCCTGTTTAGTGTTTTCCTGCTTGTCATTGAGCTGATTAGCTGTATCATAAGTGTTAGAAGCAGTTAAAACCCTAAAATATGCAGGGCAAGGAGTGCTCCAGCACAAGGTTGGGGAACTACAGTGTTAAGGCAAATGTAACATGCTGTATGAAAATGGCAGTATTGGATTGTTCAGATGTCTACTAATGGCCCTGAAACTGCTCCTATAGGAAAATGCCTACTTGTGGAGAACCTCTCTATACCTGGCAGCATCTGCAAGTGCTGAGTTCTTTGCTGATATAGCTCTGGCCCCTATGGAGGCGTGTAAAGTGCGCATCCAGACCCAGCCTGGTTATGCCAACACCCTGAGGGAGTGTGCCCCAAAGATGTATGCTGAGGAGGGTCTCTGGGCGTGAGTATCCTTTCCCTTCTTACCTCCCACCCCTACACGTTCCTTAGATCCACCTCTGGGGAGTCTTCCAACTCTGGTGCTGCTGCATCAGTCTGGTTGATCCCAGCAGCTTTTCTGGCTGTACAGTTGGAGGTGCTTGAGTCATTGGCGTGTAAGAGCAGTCTACCTGCTTCTCCAGCTCAATCACTGCCCTGGCACCCATGCTGGATTTCACCAGGGTAGACAAGCTGGAGTGCGGACAAGATAGCAAAACTCTGAGCAGATAAAATTGTCACTTTTTAGACAGTAATCCAAACATCGGGCTTTTTGAATAATAGCTGCAGAGATTAGTTTTTTTATTATTATTATTTTTAATTTTAAGTGCACTGATTATGATTCTTACTTACCTGACAACTGTGAAACAAATGCCTGTGCTTGTTTAATATTTTCTTGGCAGGTTCTACAAGGGTGTGGTTCCTCTGTGGATGAGGCAAATCCCCTACACTATGATGAAATTTGCCTGTTTCGAGCGCACAGTTGAAATGCTATACAAGTTTGTGGTGCCCAAACCCCGCAGCGAGTGCAGCAAATCTGAGCAGCTGTTGGTTACTTTTGTGGCTGGTTATATTGGTAAGTCTGACAAATCACAGTAGTGTTTGAGAGATGTTCACATCCCTTTTTTCTGTTCTGCTGGGGGGGGGGCACGAGACACACAGCTATTATCCTGCATCATTGTGTTGATGGACGGGAGACATGGAGTGTTGACTGCTTTGGTTTTACTCTTTCTGTGTAGCTGGTGTGTTCTGTGCCATTGTATCCCACCCTGCTGACTCTGTGGTGTCTGTGCTGAACAAAGAGAAGGGAAGCACAGCTGTTGAAGTACTGAAGAGGCTCGGACCCATGGGTGAGTATCTCCCTCACTTGTGCCAGCGTTAACATGGAGGAGTTAGTAAAAAGTGAATATACACATCAGAATGTCTGCCTTGGACAAGATGGGATGAGAGCCAGTTTTTTACTCTACACATTTCATGCACTAAATCTTCTCAACTTTGACCCTCATACCGGGGTGATAACATCATGGATAACACGTTCCTTAGATCCACCTCTGGGGGGTCTTCCAGCTCTGGTACTGTGCACTCTGTCTGGGTGCTGCAGTTTCAGTCTGGAGGCTCCCAGCAGCTTTTCTGGCTGTACAGTTGGGGGTGCTTGAGTCATTGGCGTGTGAGAGCAGTCTACCTGCTTCTCCAGCTCTATCACTGCCCTGGCACCCTCTTTGGACTTTACTAGGGCAGTCAAGCTGGAGGGCGGACAAGAACATTGTAGTTGACATGAAGACTAGACATTTTTCTGTGTCCCCTGGTTTATTTTGTAACTTGTTTTTCCAGGTGTGTGGAAGGGTCTGTTTGCCCGTATCATCATGATTGGTACGCTGACTGCCCTGCAGTGGTTCATCTATGACTCTGTCAAGGTCTACTTCCGCCTTCCCCGTCCCCCTCCCCCTGAGATGCCAGAGTCTCTGAAGAAGAAGCTGGGTCTCACCGAGTAGAGAGCGGCTTTTCCCTCCCATCCCTTAGTGTCCATCTTCCCTCCTGTTTTTTATATTTAAACACTCAACGGCTGCCCTGTTCCCTCCCAGGCTGCTGCTAGTCTCTTCCATCTGCGTGTTGAGGGAGAAACTTCCAGAGGAAGATTTCATTTAAACTATGACGTGAATGAATGCCATCTGGTTTTAAAGTATGTTTGTCAATAGTATGATTAAAAGAGTATCTGGAAATAATACATGTGAAGCTGTCTTTTTTTTCCTGTATAGATGTCTTTTTGCACATTCTCTCCTGACCTAAAAATGTATTTACTGGTGAGTGCCAGTGAAACTAATGGTCAGTGTAATAGTGTCAGTAGTATTATGCATTCGCACTCCACTCAGAGCACAATAGTGCATTGTCTAAATACCTGTTAATTTTAAAAGGGATGAAATAAAGAATTTAAAATTGTGCCGTCTTGAACTTTTATTTATGACTGTTATAGGGTGTGAAGGGGAAAAGAGTGGCTGTGATTTATGCGCAGTAGATGGCAGTGTTGTGTAATGACTTCTTTTTAGGTGTGGTTAATGGTGTTTAATTTTAAAGCCTAGATGCCACTGCCATCACTAACGAGGAAAAAACTAGGGAAACCTGTCCTCGCAGTTTATAATCTGTGCCACGTAAACTTGGTTATCAAAACTGTACCAACGGAAAAGCTTGTTAACGACAGGCTCAGAAATTGGTCTAGACCTGCTCTTACACTCTTCTTCAGACCAGCTGGGCTGCAGATCGAGAATTATTATAAAGTTGTGTTGTAATGTATTCATTTTCTTTTGCTTATGGTTTGAAGGTTGGCTCAAGGCTAGCATATTTTGCAGTTGGCTCATGATTTAGTTTGTGGTTAGCATGTTAGCTTGTGGCTGCAATTTAATGACGTCTGCTCCTCTGCACACATGCTCTGTCGGTCAGTGCAGGTAGTGGTACTAGAGGTGTTCTTGTAAAGGAGATTAAATTTGTTAAAATGTGTTAAGTCAGTCAGAAAATGCGTGTTTAGGCTCTAATAGGCACAAGACCCCGTCAATCACTACAACAACCCAAGTTTGCTGTAATAATGAAGGGTAAAAATAATCACTCAAGTTTGGTGAAATTGTCACAATGTCCTCCTGGTGCGAATGAGACTTGGGTCTTTATGTTTCAATCATCAGCCAATGAGCTGCTCCGCTCGCCAATCAATCATCACTCTAGCAGTAATGCCCGCCTTCTGCTGCTCAAAACTCGTTTGCTGTACAAAAAAGGAAATATATAGGTAAGATTTCTTTGTTTTTTTTTTTAGTGAAATACATCCGTCTACTTTCTAAAATACCACCAGAGACGGTTATTGAGGAGCCTGGCCACTTCCTATCCCCCCGTTATATCAAAAACAGGACTGCTAAACAGCAGAGGGCGCCCGCGAGTGAGTCTTCAATGAATGGGAATTAATGGCGCTCAACGGCTAAAAACGAAAAGTTAAAATAGTTTATCATCACTCGCCCAGAACGTTTCTTTAATTTTAGAAAGTAGAAGAAAGTAGCCCCATACATGAATCTATAGGTAGAATACTTTGTTAGCATGAATTTTCTTGTAAAAAAAATAATTACAACTATGAGGCTGAGATCAGCTTCCTATTCGCTAGCTTCTTGTTTGAATTTTCCCGTTCCACCTTAAATGGTGCAGCAGTTATTATTATAACACCTCAGGCACCAGACTGTATCTGCCACACCATTTAAGGTGGGACGGTATATTCAAACAAGAAGCTGCATAGTGAATGTCCTTATCAGAAAAATATGACCAGCTTTAAAGAAATAGTAGGATATTTTGATAGCCTCAATCAGCTTATCAGGGGGTAAGCAGTAATATTAAGCTGAATCTGTGCTGAATTAGCCTGAGTGCGGGTAAACTTGTATAGCTTGTCAAATGAAGCTATGAACAAAAGCTCTGTCATGTTTCAGTGAATATCAGATGAAAAACATATCAGCTTTGGAGCATTTAAGATCAACACAGGATGCGACAGAGACGATTTTCGAAAGCTTCATTCATTTTTCTCATAGAGAAACTCCTTTCACACCTGGAGTTCCTTATATGGGCATAAGAGCATGGTGCCGATTACAAAATGATGGCACGACTTCAGTGGTCTATGGCAGAGGTGCATATGCATGTGCCAGACTTTTTGTGAACTTAAATATATTCATAAACAAAGCCAACAAAGCTAGCACACAACTAAATTAAATCAGTGAAGTTTTACAGTTTTATGTGCAAGTGCGGGGGTGGAGAGTTGTTCCATCGTCCTCTTGAAGGCGCAAACACCCACCCCACAGCGAGGTGGAAGCCAATGACCCAGCAGAAATTCTGAAGTGACATCTGGGGTGCCCCATCAGACCTTGGTCACACTGGCCACCCCTTTAGAACCACACATGTAAGATGCAATGCTGACATATAAACAGTGGGGGCAGTATATCACAATGTGATGTGATGTGAGCGGCCAACCAAACAAACCGTGGCAACAGTTGCTCTTGCTGTCCGACAGACCGTTGCCTTATGGCGCTGCCCTTGTGCTGGACCTTGGTGACGTCCATTGTGCCATTGTATGCAGAATTTTTAACACACATGAATGTTTCTCAATACTAGAATATTTAATGGTGTGTTTTTAGTTGAATTTTGGGTTTGTTTAATATGTTGAATTGTTACGAGCCGAACAACGTCCATGTTTCTCTCAAAAACATTCTGTGGAACGACTATAAAATGCAGCATAATGCTTACATGTTGCCGTTAAAAAAATATGGAGTTAGTTTTGTGCCAAAATGTTTGAGAGAAGATCCTGATGTTTGAGAGAGGAATGTTCCGGTTTGAGAGGACAGCGGTGCTCTGAGCGCAGATAATGAACTTCAGCGCACTCTCAGAACTCCTATGTGCAAAACACTCCGGTTTTCACTGAAAACTGGAAAACCTGCTCAATCATGTTCTTCACCTTCAAAACTCACACGTGCGCCCAAATCATTTCTGCTCTCAGCTCCGCAGCGCGCGCTCAACTTTCACATCTGCTCGCTGTAAAATGTCTTAATGTTTGTGCCAAAACTCCAGCCGAGGGGCGGTTCCTGTCAGCGCACCAATCATGGCGTCTTTTCTTAAGCAGCTTTATGCCAATTGGTCAAGGCACGTTCGTGGCTGTGGTATTGAGTCGGCTGGTGTGCTTGTAGCCTCGACATTAGCTAGGTGGTTTCTATCTTTCTCGTAGCAAATGAATAGAAACGATTTGTCAGTAATACTCTGTCATAAATAATAACGTATTAATCTAACTAACATTGGTAGCTCGGCCATTTGTTTCCTACCAGAGGCTTAACTGTAGCTAACTTCAAATAGCTTAACATTAATCAACTAAGCTGACGTCAGCAAGGTTTCTTTGACTGTAGCTAACAGTGTCTAACAGTGTTCTACTGAAAAGTCTTAACTCTCCTATAGTGCTTGTCTTCATAGGCTCATCTTGTTAATCCTGTATATTTATCTTCTATAGTGGCGTCATCAAAAAACAATACTGATGCCGTGCAGCTTTATATCGCTGTCCTCTCAAACTGGAACATTCCTCTCTCAAACATCAGGATCTTCTCTCAAACATTTTGGCACAAAACCAACTCCATAAAAAGGTCCTCATTGCAGTCTAATATGTTGCCATGCTGGCAGGAGTACGGTTTCAGTAGTGCTGTTCTACCCACGTGTGGATGAAGGTCTTAACCACTATGCCATCCTATGATTTGTTTTGAACATGAAAGGTTTTGTTGTACATAATCGGGCACGTCTGGACTGAAGTATGAGTTGGATTGGCCTTGAGACTCTGGATTTCCACAATTATAAAAATTCAATCCTTACGATTTGTTTTAGTTAAACAACAAAAATCATGAAATACATTAAAGTCTATTTGTTTTCTTTGACAAGATTACTAATGTAAAGAGAAAATCAACACAGATAAAAAAACTCATGTGCTCGCAGCTCAAAATGCTCAATATTTTGCAAGCCAGAGCAAACCAGCTAGCTGCCTATTTCCGTGACCCAGGAATGATGGAGGAACTAAGGAGGAGCCTCACAGAAAGATTTTTCTGTAAGTTTAATGAAAAGTGCTACAAAGGGCAATCATTTCCGTGGTGTCACTTTAGCTCATAGATTGCTGTCAGAGGTCAATGCTAGACTTGGGGCAGCTACTACATCTAGTGGAGTCACGGTCACACATATTCAGCTCCCAAACCATGTTTAATTTAGCCCACTGAATTGTGCCAAATGCCCTCAGAACCTAACCAGGCCAGCTCTGCCCCTCATAACTTGGTACCGGTCGTTTTAGACAGGCCCTGGCAGACGCATACTAGAACTGTGGTGTAATGTCAATACCTGTATCCCTGAGCATCTTACTAGCTAATCAGACCCAAGTTGGAGACTACCCCGCAGGTGTGCACACAGCTTGAAAAGAGTTGCTCACTGCATGGTAGACAAATGCCTGGTCCACGTAAAGTTTTAGCCAATCTTCTGAATAGATTTTCACAGAAGTTATCCATCTCTATCCCATGTTTCACCACATGGCTCCTTGCGCCCCACACAAAATGCTACTAACAATTTAACTGTTATGTCAGATAAACAACAGAGGCATTTTTATTCAACCTTTACCAGTAGTGGCAAAAATTCTAGAAGGCATTGTATCCATCAAATTATATCTGTCTTTCTTTGTGGAAGTGTGGAAGTGTCCACTCCAGGAATTATGAGGACTTGACTGCTAGTCATACATAATACAACGTATTGGTTATATTATAGTAGTTCCTAAGAATTGATAAACAGTGTAAATAAGTGCAAATAAAATAGATAATATGAAAGCAAAGCCATCAATGGTGTCTTCATAAGATATTTTTCTGTCAATATCATGACACAAATGTTTGATATAAAATGGTTCATTATAGAGATACTTATTGGATTTTGAATTTCTTTGTAATGGTGGTGATGGGAACCAGGGGTCTTGATGTCTTGATGTCTACACTGCATATATATCAATTTTATTTATATGCAAAACCACCAGTGAACCTACATGAGTTTTTTATGTAATATTTGTAATAGTAGAATAGTTATCAATCTGAAAAAATATGTTTTTGGGCACTATTTTGACAACACCCTGCAGTTTTTTTAATAGATTAAAAAAAAAACATGAAACCAAAATCTATTGTAAAACTATGTCTCAGTCATCAAGCAGCGAATTCATCATCATTTCATGTAATCATTTTCTGAGTGGTAGCTTTTAGAGGCAGTAGACTCTACAGTCGTCTGGTTCCTATCACCGCCACTGCGAACAATTCTGGCTTGGTAAATTTCTCTAGAACGGAGCATTTCACACCAAACCACTTTACATGATTTTGTTTATGTCTTAATCACTTAATTATGCACAGTTTTTGAAAAATTGATGGAATTCCTCTTTAACCTATAAATATGGAGAACATTGATTTTCAATTAAATACTTAAATAGCCCCCCTTCCCAAAAGGGAAAAATAATGCCAATATTTTTCTCATTGTCATACACAACACCTTTTAGGTTACTTTTCCTCTGACCAATGAATTACACTGTTAGTCTTAATTGCTCCGTTAATCTTTTCAAGTCATGTGAGAAAGCAGGTCCAACAGATTGGAACTGTCATGGGATTACAGTAACACTATTAGCTGTCTGCAGACAGGGGTTGGCACCAGATTGAATCATCGCCGGAGGAGGAGCGGAGTCGCTGAGGCTCTGCCCTCCTCTCAGCTCTCACTTTCTCTGCTGCAGCTCTGAGGAAATTACTGGCTGGATGGCTCCGGGGGCACTGTGACACACTGCAACGCCACTGCCAAAAGACTGCAGTCACCTGTTTTTTTCTTGGCTCCACGGCCATGTTGACTTCATGGTGGTACTTATACCTGGGAGCTCAAAGCATCTACAGACAAGGCAAGTGTTTAATCAAAGCTTACGTTTGTGCCAATGCTTTCAGAATAGAACTGCAGTGCATATGAATATTTCAGTGTGCTGACCTGGATTGCCAGCGTGTGTGCTAGCAGAGGATCTGATTTTGCTTATGGAGAAAGAGAGAAGGAGAGACTGGTGCCTTCCATAGTGTGGGTGTGTCTTAGATGTGACCTTGATCTAAGGAGACTTGGATCAGATATTGAGCAGGTTGTTATTGCATTTGAGAGGATTTTCTGAACAAGGCCTGCTGCACATTTTACTTGCTGAGCATCTAGTCTGAGTGTCAGAGTTTTGTTAACAAGCTTTTGGTAAAAAATGTTACATTATCTGTATTCATGTAACGTTTCTTAAAATTTGGAATATGTGGATCCTCTATTGTAAATGATATGATATACTCACTCATCTAACCATACTTTTGTTTGGAATGGTTGGTTACTGTGCATATATCCTGTTCTATATATGTGTCAACTTAACTTTCATTGTATCTTTTTATGGATTGCCTTCAGCAATATACTGAATGTTGAGCAGTCTATGTCAGAGTGGACACCTGTGTATTTGTGTGCACTGACATGACTTTGATATGACTGGTTTTCTGTAGTGGTGAACATGGCATCTGTGCTGCAGAAGCTCATCACCCCCCTGTTCAGTGGGCCTGCTGAGCCACCTAGGAACAAAGTTACGGTGGTCGGAGTGGGACAGGTTGGCATGGCCTGTGCTGTCAGTATCCTGCTACGGGTAAGGTTACTACAACTCTGCACCAGTACAGTCTGCCATTCTGAAGTTGTATTTACTGTTGTCACTGTTTTTGCTGTATCTTTTTGTTGGTAGTGCTCAGTAAAGGTCACAAAAAGGATAAAAATAGATCAAATCTATCTTGACCATCACATCAGTACTTTATTAACAGCTGTTCTGCCTAGTCTATCAAATAAGGCCACCTAAACAATGCTTACTCAAAACGTCCAAAACTGAACTTTTCTACTCGTTGAATCAGTAGATGTTTGGGTGTGAAAGCAGACGTCTGCATCTCCAGACCACAATCTCATACTAAAGATTTAAAGCCTGTGATACTAAGAGAGTAATCTTCTTTAGCCAATTAACAGCAAATCACGGACATGCCACCACAATCCAGTCAAGAGCAGGCTTCTAACCCTGAGCTTGGTTTGAGAAGATAAATCAGGAATTACAGAAGAACCAGAAAAAAAAAAGACTACTGAAATTATACAGCTTAGTGTGTTTCTCACGACTTTGTAGGAACTCGCTGATGAGTTGGCCCTGGTTGATGTGATGGAAGATAAGCTGAAAGGAGAGATGATGGACCTGCAGCATGGAAGCCTTTTCCTTAAAACTCCTAAGATTGTCTCAGGAAAAGGTAAGCAGCTCGACAAATGAGCAGAATGACTCTATGGTTATAGATTCCAGGCCTGCATCTTTACATGGATTGTATGTATACCTTAGAGAGATGACTTGTTAAATGGTAAGTCGCTAGAGCATGTAAAAATATATGATTTGAAGGGAAACTGGCTATTATCTAATTCTCACTGTCTCTTATTGGTCCACAGATTACTCAGTGACAGCGAATTCGCGCATCGTGGTGGTGACAGCGGGTGTGCGTCAGCAAGAAGGCGAGAGCAGACTCAATCTGGTGCAGAGAAATGTCAACATCTTCAAGCACATCATCCCTCAGATTGTTAGATACAGTCCCAACTGTGTCCTCATTGTGGTGTCTAACCCAGGTACATAAACATGCTTTCTGACAAATACACCAACAGTCTCTTTAATTTATTGATACATGGATTAGATTTATGACTGACCTCCAGTACAGACACACATCACACACTCTAAGGCCGAGTTGTGTGTATGCAGTGGACATTTTGACCTACGTGACCTGGAAGCTGAGTGGTCTCCCCAAGCACCGTGTGATTGGCAGTGGCACTAACCTGGACTCAGCACGCTTCCGCTACCTAATGGCAGAACGCCTGGGCATCCACCCCACTAGCTTTAACGGATGGATCCTGGGAGAGCATGGTGACTCTAGCGGTAAGACAATGGACAATATCCCTCATTTCAAAGTTCTACAGCTCTGGTTGCTTTATAGAGCTGTGGTTTTGAGAAAATCACTATATACATGTAATTCATTACTTATATCATGAAATAGTAAGAATGCACCAATCATAAATGTTTATGTAAGTGTCTGATTTATTTACAGCTAAATGGGCTGATGGCTGATTTCTATTACCCTTATTTTTTATCTTGAAATAAACACATGAAACACTCCAGCACATTTCCAGTGCTTTCTGTCAGCCACAGTTACAATATAAATAACATTTCCTCTTTAATAGGCCAGATTGACATTCTGTATGACAAATTAATTTATTAAAAATCAGTTCCCTATTTAAATAACTTGAGTGCTACATAAAAAGTAAGAAGCAACTAGCTAATTAGCACAATGAGTCATGCATAACTATTCTACAACATTTATGTATAAGTGTAGCAGCAGCTTTAAAATACAGCACAAGTGCACTTCCTCGTGTTCTTAACGTCATAAAATTGCAATGCTAATCGGCCAAAATGAAAATAAATTAACAGATTGCTTTGAAAAAAACAGTTAAAAACAGATACAGTTACTGTTGCAATACTCATCTAATATTCACTGATAGGAATTATACCTACTGATAATACACTCTGATGCAAATGTGCCTAACAAGAAGCAATAGGTGTACAATTTGTGTTCTAGTCCCTGTTTGGAGCGGAGCAAATGTGGCAGGAGTGAACCTGCAGACACTGAACCCGGACATTGGCAAAGACAGTGACCGGGAGAACTGGAAAGAAACTCACAAGATGGTAGTTGACAGGTACATCCATCATCCATATACTTGTTATATTGTCCACCTTAGAAATCATAACTGGAGTGTTGTGTTAATTGTCTGCAGTGCCTATGAGGTGATCAGACTGAAAGGCTACACTAACTGGGCTATTGGACTGAGTGTAGCTGACCTGACCGAGAGTCTCATTAAAAATCTGTACAGAGTCCACCCCGTCTGCACAATGGTGAAGGTCAGTCAAATGATACAGCATTAAGACTCATATTTCTGCAACTGATTTGCTTATCTGTCTGTGCTGTTGAACTAAAACTAACAATCAGCATAGACCTTGCCTGACTGAAGCCACACAGATGAAAACGTCTAATTTTGTTCAACAGGGCATGTATGGAATCAGCGATGAGGTCTACCTCAGCCTGCCATGTGTGCTGAACAGCGGTGGAGTGAGCAGCGTGGTCAACATGACACTGACTCAGGACGAGGTGTCTCAGCTGAAGAAAAGCGCAGACACGCTGTGGAACATTCAGAAAAACCTGAAGGATCTGTAGGATGCTAAGAAAAGAGAACCCTCATACACAGAGTCACACTGGGCCAGCACCTGTACTCAAAGTAGCTTTAGGAATACTGATCCAAGATCACTTTTCCTCACGCTTCATGCTTAATGTTAATATGAGCAAATCAAAATAGATATAAATACAGCACCTTTAATCAATAATGACTTGAGAATGTGTTATGTTGACTGCTATGTGTAATCAACATGTAAATTTTATGTATAAAATGTATGTAAAAAGTAAGCTGAATGTTCACATCAATTTTTGATTAAGATATGACTGAAGTCTGAAAATAAAGACTTGGAAGACTGAATATTTACAGACACTGGAAAGTTTATTAAACTGTGGCTTTCTCCATGTAAAAATGTACAGTCTTATACATTGTTTAAAATACATTATTTACAAACTGTGGGCTTCACAAAGGCTACTAATTCTTCACCAAATGAGGAAAATGGAGTGACATGATGGTTGTGGCTCTTCAAGTATATACTGCTCTCATCACAGGTTCAACACAGCACACTTCAAAAAGCAGTTGGCACTTTAAGGCTCAACACAAAGATCCAGTAACACCTTCATACAGAACCTACAGAGATCTCTATGTAACAGTGTAGTCAGAAAAGCAAAGAGTGAAGTAGCAGTCCTTTCAGAAGCAGGTCAACGGGCATCAGCAACAGTCAATCAAAATATGCCCTTTGTTGGTTCAACAAGTCCGTGTTACCTCCTTGATGGAGGTATGCAACACCACTTTACTGGGCCCAATTTGGGCTGTGGATCAGTTCCCAAAAAAGTAATAGCTCTCCATTGGTAACATTGCTTCCAGAGCAGGCAACTACTTGTGCCGAACAAAAGCACCACCTCCTCTCAAAGATGAGAAGCTCTCATATTTGACATTCACTGGGAGTGTTACCACAAGGGCATCAAGTTAGGAGTGCAACTGAAGATTTTAAATAAGTGGTGACCACTCCTAGGATGAAAAATGTATAAGTCTGTTATACCATGGCGTTGCTCTCACCCACTTTATCCACCAACTGGAAGAAAAAAAAAAAGTAAAGATCATTACTTGTAAAAGCAAGTTGGTGCTATCACAGAAGTTTTCTGAGATTCAGATTTCCACACACGCTTATGAAAAAATAATCAAAAAGCTGGTGTATGTGCAGCTTTCCATGAGTGCAGATAACCAACTGTCTATTACTAGTAAATGGCACATATAAAGTACTTACCCCACTGATCCCAGGGAGATTGAGCAGTGATCCAAGAATTGGTATTCTTCTGATGAAGCCCACCGCTACTGGGAAGAAGCCCCTGAATAGCAAGAAGAGGATAAATTAATCCAGCTGCCCAAACAGGGGCTACAACGTGCCACTTTCTCCACCTTCATAGGATTTCCCTGATTTTAATGAGGCTTTGTAGTATTTGTACATAATCCACAATCTCAGCAAGACAATCAGCGTGTTTTGCATGTCTGCTAGTCGTGTACTTTTTGGCCACTATGTCCTTCTCTTCAATGTTGACGACCAAAACAGTAACGAAGTAACAATATTACTTGTGAAAAAGTGCTTAGAATTACTACACATGAATAAAAACCTAATAATATTAGATCATTTCTGATAGGTAAACAGTGGAAGCTGCACAAAACAGTTATGAATTAGTGCCCAAGAGCATGATTCTGATTCTCCTAAACTGGAAGGCCTGCAGAGTTTAGTTGTATTCACAAAGGTTCTCAGAGTAGAAATGCTGATATAGGATTTGTTCCAGTCAGAAAAGTCATAATAAATAAGAGGGAAGTCTTATTTTAGATCAGCAATTCTGTTCCAAGACGCTATGAGAATACTGGTCCAGATCCACCTAATTAACGAGTCCAGGAACATGCGCATATTAGAAGTAGGCACGTCAAGTTAGGGTTGGCGCTCCAGAGCTCTGTCTGAATACTTTCCTTGATTTTGCCTGATCTTGTAGCCATGCTGAGTCACATGCTAGTCAGTTCTCTCACTATTTTAATGAGAAGATGGGCTACAGATAAGGCTAAATCAAGGAATGCAGATAGAAAAAAAAAAGTTTCACAGAACCACTCGGACACCGAAAGAAGGGCTGGGCAGCCTTGTCCTGAACTCACCTAAAAAGCAGGAAGAACCCATAAACCTCCAAGACCACACCAATGATCGGCCACCCGATCAACACCACAAACACACCTCCTAAGAAGAAACCTGTAGCTTTCATTTTGTGCCGCTGGAAAAAGAATCTGAAGGTTCTTTCCAATCCAATAACGAAGGACAGGCCTGCAACAAACAAGATCTGGACAGACACACAAACGAACAGGGTCAAACTAAAGTGAAACATCATTTGGACATCCGCTAAATGAAGAGAGACAATCCTGGTCTGACTGACTGACTAAGGTGGGGTTCACAGGGTTCACTCTAAAGTCCCACCATCCCGCCATGATCAAAACATATAGCTAACTATCAAAGATCCACACACTCACATTTCCTATCGCCAGCAGCGCTTTATCGAAGAACAGGATCATCCCAAAGAAGAGGAAAAACACGCCGAAGCCTGTTAGTCCCATTCCGATCTCTGGAAGAACAAAGAGAGAAGAAGGGTTTTAGCATCGACCTCATTCTCAGGTCTGAGAAGATTCACACAGCAACATGAGCCAACTCGCTTCTGAGTAAATAACAATAACATGTAAAGAAGTGTCTTATACTGGGCTACATGTCTATCTAACAGTAGGAGCTCTGAGGATGTGTGAATTAGCTGTAAGGCTACAGGCCCCGTCGCCATGGAGCCTCTCATTCATTCAAACTACCGCCCACCAAACATTCCCACCCTTTAACCTCTTCGCTGTCTTCTCGAATAACGGCCACTGCCTGTCAGATAAGCAGAAACAGTCTCTCTCACTCACTCTGCGAGTCCGTTAGGGAGATCATCTTCACTCTATGGACTCTGCGTCCTCGTTATCTGTTTGCGGAGGGAAGAAGCGCCGCACTGACTGATTTCGGCAATCGCCACGTCTTCCGGAAACACGTAGAGACGTAACACTGCTGAGTGATACAGAATAAGAGTCCCTGAATATCTGATCAGTTATATATTTTAGAACATTTAATTATTAAAATACCATTCCGCTGTAAACTGATTGCATTATTTTATTATAAGGGAAAAGAAGACATTGAGAAAATGACCTAAGCTTATCAATTAACTATCTTTCCTTATGAAGAAAATAAAAAAGTATCAAAAGTTATTTTTTAAATGTTTTTGACAGATTTTCTTTGCTATTAACACTCTTCGATTAACATAAATGTCATTTTGTACAAATTAAAGATAAATAAAAATTTATTATCTTATTATACATATCAATACATTACATATTATATATATATATATATATATAATATATATATATATATATATATATATATTATATATATATATATATATATATATATATATATATATGTACTTATACAAGCAGCTCATAAATCATATTAATCTGCTGGGAGACTGTGAAATATTGTTTGGCACTCCGCGCACTCGTTTGCGAAGTTGACCGGCTGTGATAAAACCTCCTGGTCCCATGACGTGCTGCGCTTGTTGGAAATGTAGTTTTATTATTTTCGAGCGTTGTGGCTGTGGCTAGACAAACACGACGGTGAAGACTACAACACCCACATCACCCACGCACTGCGCCTACAGCGAAGCCGGGATACGTGTTCATTGAACAGTTTTGCCTTCATTGACAACCTGGCTAGTGTATTTATCAATATGCCGTCGCTCGGTTTAGTGTAGTTCGTGCAATATTATTGGTCTGTGTACACAAACAGTGTCTCCTGCCTGTGAAGATGAGCACTGTGTTCGCGGTGACTCTGGTTTTTGTTGGGTGCTGCAGTAACGTTGTGTTCCTAGAACTTTTGGTGAGGTGAGTGAGTGGAACTTGTCCAAACGAGCGAACGGCTCTGATTCGAGAATCGCAGTTTTGAGGTGATTTATTTCAGGTTAATGCGAAGTCTTAATAATAACTCCTGGTTCCAGACACAGCAGTGTGCACTGCAGTGTGTTCATAGCTAATAACAGGAGGTGTCTATTCTATACATGTTGTTCTGTGAAGTTCCTAAAACGGTTGAGGTTTCAGTTGTATTCTTTGTTATTTGAAACTCTGCAGAGATTTCCCAGGATGTGGAAATATTGTCACCTTTGCCCAGTTTGCTTTCATTGCCCTCGAGGGCTTCATCTTCGAAACGAATTTCGGACGCAAGAAACCAGCCATACCTATCAGGTATCAGCCACATGAGCGTGCCGGATTTGTAAATGTCAAAAAAAAAACCAGTCTCCTCTTTTGCACACATAGCAGATCCCTGTAGTGGAAGAGTCTGTGTTAAGCAGTCTGTGTGAGGGACATAGCTTAGTGATATTTGCAGGCAAATGTTTAATAACCCAATATATTGTAATACCCTGTAACCCTGTAATTTAATGTAAGCTCAGTTGATTCTGACACGTTTTATTGATACAATCTGGTAGTAGTCCAAACATGAAGTGACCGTTATATGCTTTCCCTCTACAGTAATTATGTGATAATGGTGACAATGTTCTTCACTGTAAGTGTGATAAACAACTACGCCCTCAACTTCAACATTGCAATGCCACTGCACATGATCTTCAGATCTGTGAGTCCCGTCTCTTTCGTATCTTTTGACTGAGCTATTGATTGTTAGTCATCTGTATGATTTGTATATTCTTTTGGTTTGTTAAATAAATTTCATAACTGATGTACATTTCTTCTTTTGCAGGGCTCTTTAATAGCCAATATGATACTGGGTATCATCATATTGAAAAAAAGGTGGGTTAGACGCTGCTGTCAATGCAGAGGCTGATACCTATAACTTGATTTTGAGACTGAGGCCCAAATATTTTTTTTTTTGCCAGTACCTTCTTTTAAATAACAAACTGGAAGTGGGTTTGGTTTAAATTAGGTATGATGTGTTGGAAGTGAGTATATTTACTGACTGCAATAGATTACAGGCTAATTGAGTAAAGTGCTCACATAAATATTATGTCTACAAAATGTAATTTATACAGCCTATCAGCAGTTTTGATTTTGGAACAGGCGTGGTTATCATGCTTACTCACTCTGATAAGGCTAGTTAGGTCACGGGTGTCCAGTATTATTAACAAAGGGCCGGTGTGGCTGCAGGTTTTCATTCCATCAGACAGGAGCACACGTGATTAATTGATTAAAGACTGAGAGCAACTGATTTATGGGTAGAATTAGGCATGATTTGGATTGTTTAGTATGAAAACATGCAGCTACACCGGCCCTTTTCTGGTAAGAGTGGATAAGTTTGATGCCTAGCCTTAGTTATACCATTGCTAATGTGCTACTAATGTAATGTTTTTCTCCCTGATAAAGGTATTCAGCAAGTAAATACCTTTCTATAGTTCTGGTATCACTTGGCATATTCATCTGCACCTTCATGTCTGCCAAACAAGTGGTAAGGTTTTTTTAGAGGCTTTTTTCCCTCAGTATTACAGTTTTTCTGAGCTAGGTGGTGTCCTAACCACTGCCTAACCTGTGTAGTTCTATACTTTATAAAACATTAATTGTTGTAAACTTGTATCACAGCACCTTCTAGTGGTTTGTCTCCATTCAAAAAGTCAGATCTGATTTGATGTTTAGTTATTTCTTTCCTAGAGTGTTGAAAAGGGTGCCACAGAAGAGGAAGGAGTTTATACCTTCTTGCACTGGCTTTTAGGTAGGCACATTGCGGTGAAGCCCACCAGTCTTGTCTCTGTTATTGGCATCTTGTACAGCAGATTTTCTTTCGTTTTTTACTTATTATAATCAATTTTGCCACAATATTGTGATGTAGTAAGGAAAGCTTCTGTTGTAAGATTACAGGAGAGTACACAGCTGAAAGTGCTATTTTTGTTTAAGGTATTGGCATGCTGACTTTTGCCCTACTAATGTCGGCACGTATGGGCATTTTCCAAGAGACTCTGTACAAGCAGTATGGCAAGCACTCTAAAGAGGCCCTCTTCTATAATGTGAGTGCTGTTCCATTTTACCTACTAGCCCAAAAACTCATTGTTAGATTTAATGCAAGTGTTTTTTTCTGTCACTTTTTGGTTCAAAACAATTATTCTGTTTCTTTCAGCATTGTCTGCCTTTGCCAGGGTTTCTGCTGCTCTCAACTAACATCTATAATCATGCTGTCTTCTTCAGTCAAAGCAGTGAGTCTGTTCTTAAGCACTTCACATTTAGTTTGTGAGCTTCTACATTGGGCTCTATCACTGAGTAGATTCCCAGCAGTGCCAGTGCTAGCTGGGAACCTTTGAGAGTACAATTAGCCATGTTTGCTTTGGCTGGGAAACACGTCATAGTTTCTTTTCTGCACTGATGCAGACCAGTAGGTCAGGTAATTGTCTCTTTGGTAGCCTCTGCTTAAAGTGTGTTGAACTACTATGTAGCATTTCAGCAGTCTACTTATTGTGCTATGGCTATGGCTGTGGAGAAGACTTACAGTGATGATGACAATTAACAATTTTAATGTCTCAGTACTAACAAACCTATGTGTCTCCAAAGTGGTAACTTTACAGAAGGAGGTAAACGTCCTTAACTTTAGTGTAAGTGAATGTACCAAAATTTTATGCCATGTAATTTTGGACCATTTCTATTGGTCCATTTATCATTAAATGTTCACACAATGTATAGCTGCTGTGCTCAAATGCTGTAGAAACATAAAAATTGAGAAAATTGAGCTCCCAGGACAAAAACGATTAAGCCACCCATTGCCTTAAAAACAGCAACAATCCTGTATGGTAAGTAACACCAGTCTCATTCCCCCTCTTTCACTAACCTTGTGCTTCCTATCCAAGCAGAATACAACATTGACACTCCCACATTCCAGGAAGACAGCTGTAGGGTGTCTATATGTGACAGGTTCAATAGACATGATAGAACACTTGGAACGTTTGACTGAGTGGCAAAATCAGCAGATCTCAATCCCTATTCTTGATTTGGAACAGCTGAAATAGGCACACTCAAACTATAAAGAGGGGGCTAGACTGGACAGGAGCTTTCTCAAGTGACTGGTGTAATCCTTACCTGACAGGATTATCACTGTTATTTATGCAACTGGATGCATAATCAAGTATGAGAAAAGAAACTATGCGTGCAACAACTGTCTGGTGAGCTTATGATGATGACAATATGGAAAAAAATGGAACATTTTACATTTTTGTTATTTGAATATAGTTCCCATTGCTGACACACATTTATTCTGGTTTCTGACACTTTCTCTTGAAGCTCCTGTGGAAGTCCCTGTGATTGGTCAACCTGTGCCAGTAATGTGGGTGTATTTACTGATGAATGTCATCACACAGTATCCTTTTGACAGAAATAAGACTGCTCTTTAGCTCGAGTGTGTGACCGCCTTCATGCAACTTTGCGCTTTGTCATTTTATAATATAGTGAACTTTGAACACCTTAACATGCCTGTTCAGATACGTGTGCATTCGGGGTGTGTTCATTCTGACCACAGAGTGCACGTCCCTAACTGTTACGCTGGTAGTGACACTCCGTAAATTCCTGAGCCTCATTATCTCCATCCTGTACTTTCAGAACCCTTTCACAGCTTGGCACTGGGTGGGCACAGCTGTGGTCTTTTTGGGTACATTGCTCTACACAGAGGTGTGGTCCAGCATCCAGACTGCAGTGAAAGGAGAGAAACTAGACAAGAAAGCAGAGTAAAAATGATGAACACAAATGGAATACCTCCTCTAGTATGTGTTTGTGTGCGTGTTTGTGTCTGCAGTGAAGTTTCACTGCTAAGAAAGTCTGCCTGTTACTGAGTAAATAGGTCAGGTCTTAAGAAAGCATAAAAGGTGTGTTTGGCCCTGTGTGCTGTGTCTCTGATTGATTGCTCACTCCATGGCCTTTTTTCCACTGCTAAAATGGGACCAAGGCCGTGTTTCAGAAGGAGGAAAGTAACTAAACATTGATCCTCTATTAACAACATCATAAGACAGCACTTAAATGTAAATTTGTTTTCCTGGTCCACTCCATTATTGATTTTCTTATATAAGACATATACAAAGTTTATAGTTCTTTTAGTCATGCTAGCTAGGTACAGTTGTTTTACAAGGTTAGTAGTTTGTCTCAAGCTCAGTGTTTTTTAGAGATTCTTATTAAAGAATACATATACAAGATGATGAATTGTTGATAGATTAAGGACGTACACAGGTAGCCTACATGATGCACACATTTCAGTTTTTTTGTAACTGATACTAACTGATAGAACAGTTTGGAAACCTAAGAAACTGTTTTTTTGAACGAACATTACTAGGATTAGTTTCTCTGTTTTACAACAAAGTACAGGACTATTACTTAACATTTTTTGTGAGTCATGATTTAAGAAGTCATGATTTTTGGATAATCACTTTGGAGACTTCATGTACTGTATATTTTTGTATTCGGTTCTCTCAGGATGTTGTCTTATACCCAGTAAGCTCTAAAAGGGAGTGGTGTCTCACATATTGCAGTGCCCCATAACTTGTGTTGTTACTCATTTTTCCACCGTTCTCTGTTATTAAAATAACTTAAAAACTGTGTTTCTTGATCTATATGGTATCTTGTTTTCTATGACTTTATGACTTTATGCCTCACAGGATATTATAAAAACTGCCGTTGGACAATAAAGGCTGCTTAGGTGAAGGATAAACTAGCTCAACCAGCCAATAAAATAATAAAACCTAATTTCAATTTATCAGTTACTGTGGTTGTGAGCAGTTAATTCAATACTTGTGCTTATTTCAAAAGACCTGTAAATGCTGTTCTTTCAGTTTGAAAAGGACCAAAATCACATACACTTCCAATAAATGTTACGTCAAAATAGTAGACTTAAAAATGTTGGTTCTTCAGGGGTTCTTTAGTCAAGAAAATGGTTCTACATAGAACCATGAACACTCAAAGAACCCTCTGCATGATTAAAGGGTTCTTTGCATCATGAAAGCGTTCTTCAGATTGATGGAGAATGCGTTCAGTATGTATAGCACCAAAAAGGGTTCTACTTAACGCGATGCTAGTCGGCGCAGGCGTCTGTTAGCTGACGTAACAGATCTGGCGGTTGGCGCTTTCCTCCGAGCGCGTTCAGCTGTCCAGTGACGTTGCGTGAGCGGCAGCTCGAAAAGATGCGGTGGCTGGTTTCACAGGTCTCGGAGGAAGCCTGTGTTAGCCTTCATCCCCCTAGCGTTGATGGTATCGTGTGATTGGGGGAGTCCTAACTAGCGGGTGGAATTGGAGACGAGAAAATTTGGGAGATAATTGGGTAAAAATAAAAAAATAAATAAAAAAGGGGGTTCTTCTATTGTTACGATGTCAAGCTTGTAACAGTAAAAGAACCCTTTTCAGAAAGACTCTATATAGAACCATATTGAACACACTCTCCATCAATCTGAAGAACTCTTTCATGATGCAAAGAACCCTTTAATCATGCAAAGAGTTCCTTGAGTGTTCATGGTTCTATATAGAACTATTTTCTTTACTAAAGAATTCTTGAAGAGCCATCATTTTTTTCAGTTTGTACCTGAGTATTGTACTCAAAAAATATTTTTGAAAGATTTGTATTCATTACTAAAAATGAATTCTTCACTCAGTTATATTTCCAAGAGAAAAAATACTCCTTTTTACTCCTTATATTTTCATTTAGAACTTCTGAGTACTTGCTAGAAATCTTAAAGCAGATTTTTCTCTCTTTTGTGAATCAGTCTACTTGCTAGATGTGTGAATTTATTGTTTTTATTAAAATATGAGTGTCGGTGTAAAATGATGTTGCCCACAACTACACAAATATATTTTTGTGCAAGGACGGGTACTGGCCGTTGATCAGTGCATCACACACCACCAAGAAAACAAAGGAAACATCATTTACATGAACATATTTCATATACTGTTATAAACTTGTATACACTTGAATATGTTTAAATGTCAATTTTTTTTTAATTTTCATTCAAGTATATATATATAGTATATTTTATATTAGTATATACTTCCACTTTTATTTGAATAAAACTTTCATGCTTAGAAGTCTGCCTTCAAATTATTGCTTGTTGTCACTGATATGATGAAACAATCATCTCTTTTGGTATTGTATCTATTTTTTCAGTTTTCTGGAGTGATTTTTGTTATTTTCGTAGAAGGTAAGTAACTTGTGACTTCAGCCTCACTCAGAAAATGAGTTTTTGGTGCATCCAGAAGAGAAAATAAGAACTTTGTTGAAAATATATTGTTATTTTTGGCTAAATTCTATATACATAAATATAAATTTGCAAAAAAGAACCCAAAAAATGTGTTTTCAAAAAAGATCTTGAATGTTTGTTGTACACCCTCATTCCATCATTCAAAGACCCTTTATCAGTCAGTGCTCTTGTACACTACACCACGTACACATTTTAAAAGCATTGGCTTCATTAGTGTATTGTATATAGTGTGGTGTGTGATTGTGGATGTAGTCGTACTCTTGCTATTTCAGTAAAGAGAGGGTAAGTGACTCCAGTCAGTGTCAGAGAGCAGATGCCCTCAGGCCCATTCCAAGTGGCAGCCAATGGAGAAAGTTGTTACAGGCGCTGTGTACGGTGGTCCAATGGAAAAATCTATTCTTGGGAGCGTTGGGGGGGCGGGGTAGGGGGGCAGGGCAGGTTTTGGGGCTCAACTCTGGGTGCAAAGACCTGGATGTGCACCAGCTCAAAATATTCTTTACTCCTCAGTTTTAATCCTGTGCCGAGCTGCAGAGAGGAGTGTGGATCTGCTCTGATACACATGGGGGGCAACAGCAGCTCAAGACTCGACCCGTTTGAGGCGAGCGATGGAGAAGGTGTCACAGTCGTGACGGGTATTCGGGTGAGTTTCTCACAGCAAAACTCGGTTAAAACAGTTTTGTTCTTCTCTTTCTGTCGCGGTACTGTGTTGTTTCTTTACACCAGCCTGTTGGAGATCGCATGACTGTAATTGTTCACGTGTCTGTGAACTTTTGTTCAGAAGGGAACAGAATGTTCTGTTTAGCTTAGTGAACAGATCATGCGTGTTAATATCGCCGCTGACAGCCAGGATAAGCATGAATGCATGACGCCCACCAACCTGCAGACTGAAGAACTGAACTGAGCTGAGCACTGCTGGGTCCTGCAGCTGCAGTCAGATTGGAAGCAGACCATTAAAATAAGCAGCAAAGCTGAAGTGAAGAGCACACTGAAAATGATTATTATTATCACTATTTTTCACAACTTCTGGGACTTATGCATAAAGTCTCTCTCTGTCTCGGCTGTGAAAATGCCATCATTAATAGACCAATAGAAATGCTTCAAAAATATCTTTACATTAACTCAAAAATTAAGAACATCTTTGCCTTTTGAAATGCTTATAAAAATATAAAACGTGATGTAACTTTTGCATGTTTTACGTTTCCACATTTTATGTTTATAATGTGTGTTCTCTGTTGAGAATGTGTACTTAAGTTTACGTACAAAATCAACATAACATCCAGGGGTGCCTAAACTTTTGCACACAATTGTAAAAGTGTTTACAATATGTTTTTTGGGCACAGACAATATTATACATACATTTCTTAAAAGAGAAGGCTTAATATGTGGAAAAATGCTTTTTCACCAATCTTAAGTTATGCTGCATTTCTCTGAATGTGATCTATGCAGTCATTTTTTAATGACCTTTTTATGAGTCATTTTTTAATGGGTTTCTTTCTAATTGACAGTTGACGGATCGAGTGATTGATCGCATGAAGGAATCTCCTCAAGCAGTGAATCAACGCCCTCAGTCAAAAAGGCAAGGACATCCACCTGTAGCTAAGCCTGCAGTCCCTTTGGGTCAGCCATGGATACCTGGTGAGCGCTTGGGGCCAATTTTGCCCCATCCTCCCTCTTATGCTAGTTCTTTGGTACCACCACCTCTCCAAGAGCCTGTGCCTCCTCCTGTGCCGCTTGCCTCTGTGACTCAAGAGACTCCGACACCTGGGGATTCATCTACACCTACTGTGGAAGCGATTCCACCACTCTCTCATACTGAGCCTGCAGCTCTGGAACATGTAACAACACCTCCGCCTACTGAGCCTGTCTCTGTAGCTCCATCTCCACCTACTGAATCATTAACAGCAACAGCTTCTCCTGTTGAAGCTGTAGACACATCTCCATCAAACCCCAGTGAACTCTCTGAGCCTGTGATCACAGCTCCTCCTCCATTTGCTGAAGTTGTAATTCCACCTGTGACAGCTGAGCCCATTGCTATATCTGTGGAGCCAACTACTACTGAACCCTTGGCTGCAAGTACTTCTGCTGAACAAGGCGAGATGCTCACAACCACCTCGTCTTCAGCTGAACCAGCCAGTGTAGCCATACCTACAGTGGCTGACACTGAAGCGTCACCTTCATCTGATTCTCCACTCACTGTGCCAGTGTCCCTAGTTGAGGAGCCAGTCACTGTTGAACCCTCAGAGATTCAATTAGACGCTCTAGCTGGCCATGATGAACCCACTGAGATGCCCAGGTCTCCACCTGGTGAGCCTGTCCCCTCACCGTCACCTCTTTCCATTCCTGTGCCTCCTTCTGCTTCTCTAGAGGAGCTAGTGCCCCCTCAGTCCTCTTCTGCTCTGGCTGTACCTTCTGAACTCCCCTCACTTGGGCAGATGGGACCACCTCCTACTGAGGAGACCCCAGCTCCACCATCTTCTGCCTATATCGCAGAGTCTGCTGTTGCTCCAGGACTGCCTCCACTTGCTGAAACAAGCAGCCCACTAACCTGTCCGCCCAAATCACAAGCTGCAGGTAAGACTGGATTCCTGGAATCGATCAGTGTGCATCAATTTTGAGAGAATACTTATGAATACATAGTGTGGTTTTATTAGAAATAGTATTTCAGCCTTAGTTGCATCTCCACTAGGGGTCACCACTTTTGGAGTCTCCACTAGGGGTCACCACTTTTGGAGTCTCCACTAGGGTTCACCACTTTTGGAGAGTCCAGGTGAATGTCCTGCTCTAACACACCAGCTAAACCTAATAACAAATAGGCCTGTCACAATTATTACACAGTCACCTGATCACGGTTATTTGACAATTATTTTCCTCAGTTGTTAGCTTTCACAATCATATGTTTACTTTGCATTAAACAGAGTTGGGTTGAGACAAATGCACATTATTAAAAGAAAAGAAAACATGTTTATTAAAAATATATCATGGATCTTACTGGTACTAGTCTTAATAGTTGCATACAATAAACAAAAAGACAATTAATTTGTCAGTCATGATTATTTATTTGGAAATAGGAAACAGGCCTAGTAAGTACCAGATGGGTTGAATCAGCAATGTTTGAGCAGAGAAACCACCAAACTGTGCTGGACTCTCCAGGACCAGAATAGACTAGCCCTGGTGTACAGAAACAACCACTTTGCTGTCTCTATTATTTAGTTAATGAGGAAGAACTGAGGAAGCAGATCAGAGATGAACTGCAGAAGCAGCAGCAAGAAGAGATGAAGATGGCAGAGCTAAAGATTCAGCAACAGTAAGAGGAACAGTGTCATACAAAAGATGTCAATATCAAATCAGTTTTATCTGCATGCATTTACTTTAGACATTTACTTTTGTTGTTTATGGTTTGTTTATCAAGAAGTAGACCAAAATCTAGCCCTTATGTGTTTGTATATGTTTGTGTTGTTTTAGGTTGAAGGATGAGAAAGTAAAGGCTGAGGCAGAGGCTCAGGCCAAAGCTCGGTTGCAGATCCAGGCAGAGGTTCAGAAGGTTCTAGAAAGAGAGCAGATAGCCCTTCAGCAGTCTCTGAAAGATGCTGTTATGAAGGAGCGTATGAACACTGAGGATGAGCGGCTTGTAGCCCAGTATTATGTAAGGCATACTGAGGTCACAATACATGCATGTGTGGGTGTCTGTGAGCACTTCTGTGTTCTCTTCTATTTGTGTTCTCATGCATATATTGTCCATTTTCACAGTTCACAACTCATAGCCTTCCCTGAGTTAGAACGCAGGGTTAACCTTTAATACCATCAAATCTTATCTAACCAACATCATCTCTTTAATAGCATCTCTAATACAGCAACCTGCTTATGTAATTAAGCTTTGCAAAGCTTGCAGTGCATTGCTGAAAAAGGTGAATTTTAGGGCATTTGTTTTATACATACTCTACTCCTGCTTACACCAAAGCATCATTGATAACACTTTGTAATAACAGGCTATTAAATAGCAACTTATTATTATGTAATAGCCTATTAATAGCTGTTAATTATCTTGTAATTGTTAGATATGCATAAATAAATGCATCCTTTTAAATTATTTACCATTTACTGAGCAGCATATGAATAGTCAGTAATTATTCTGAATTGTAGAAACCCATTCTTGGTGATAATATTTTAAGCAATATTAAAGATTTACTTGCATTAAAAATGTAGTATTTAATAATTGCCCGTATCCTGGTTTAAATGATTAAGTAGTTGTTTTTTGTGATGCACAGATTTTTCCTTAATGCTTAGTTAATCATTATTAAGTGGTTAATATAAAATGTATTAAATGTTAATTGGACTCTGTTAAAAAGTTGTGACTTAATTTTATAATGTATTTATAAACATTGATCATATTATGTATTACACATAAATATCAGATGTTTAAGAAAAGCATTTTGTTATATGTCCCTAAGTCAATGGTTAATAATTAAAATGGTAGCATTTATTATGTTATTAAGGTATAACATCTCTGTCCAAAAAAACCCAAAAACAACAAGCATCCCCAAAATATATTTTCGGACCATTTTGTTGGTCCATTCAGGATAGAAGTTTCACACAATGTAAAGGGCCGCTGCTCTGTTCAAATGATGTAAGTAAACATTGAAACAAATGGTCCAAAATTACTTAGAATAAAGTCTCTTTACATTTACTTACATCAAAAGTAAAGCATGTTTTTGCCATGACTAAAAAGGTACTATTTTGGACATTTTTGGACAGCAAAATATGTAATAGTTCTATAATCATTAACTATCGTTAACATAATTATAAAGTTGCAATTTATATGGACCACAGTGTGTTACCACAACATTTTATGATGCCAAACTTCAAGCTAATCAATTTTACACAATTAACCAGCAAGCTTTGTTTAGCTCATAGAAAACATGATTGTTTTAATTTACAGTAACACCTTTTGTTCATTTTACTTTATTAGTGTCTTGGAAACTGGCTTTTAATTTTCTTATTTCCTCTTTATGTATCCCTTGTTCTTTATTCTTTCTTTTTTCTTCTTTCTGGCTCTGCTACTGCGTTTCAGTGGATGGAGAGGAAGGTGAGCATGGTGCAGCTCTGTCCTGCCTACTGCATGCTCCTACACTCTTTCATTCCCAGCTCTTCCTTAAATGTTATGAAATTCTGTTAAGCCCAGGTTTTCTATAGCTCATATGTAAAATAACAGCTTTACATGTCAATTAACTGTATTTATGAGTTGGTGTAATGCTCAGTTTTAATGCTGCACAGCTCTCAGTATTATTACTTGTGTATTTATTGAGGATGGCAGTAGTTGTATAATGTAGAGTCACAGCTGATTTGTGTTCTGCATACAGCAAGCCTCTTTGTGTTCCTGAAACAGATCCAGAAGCTGGAGGAGAAGAAGAGAGACCTGGCAAAGCAGGACTCGCTGTATAAGGAGCAGATTACCAAGCTGGAGGAGAAAGTAAGAAATAACACTGCTCTAGCACACATGACAGCTTTATTTTCAGGTCAGGCAAATAGGGCCTCGGTAGGTTTGAAAAATTGACATAATTTCAAATGTTTTTCACTTGGTGGCTCTCCTGTCCATGTTAAAACACTGTCCTGGTCTTTCTCTCTTATCATAGACTGCACAGTTCACCAGAGTCACAGCAGAAAGCTTCAAAAAGGGTTTGGATGACACTCACAACCGCTTCAAGTAAGTGGCCTACTGCATGTGCTCTGTGCTTAAAATAGCATATTCCCTTGGAAAGCCACTTCAGTGTTACTCAGATCTGAATTTTAGTTAATTACGAAGCTGCAGAACTGGTGGTGAAAATTACACTGAAGCAAACCTAGTGTTACTTTAGAGTGAACCTTGAACAGAAGTGAAAGCATTCCTAACAGATTTAAAGTGCTCCTTTTAAATAAGGTCTTCTTATGACATGTGTGTGGTTTTATGTACCAGAATCAGTTGTAATTCACTTGTACATGGGCATTTTCCAACATTTGTTTATCTCTTAGAATTAACAGGCTGTGCCTTTAGGAATTTGTGTAAACAACCTCTGTCCTGTATTGTGCCTCTTTCAAAAAGAAGTACAGGCTAAAACACTCCTTATACACTTTAGTGATATGAATGGATGTGCTGACCTCCTGTAGGTGGATATATGTAAATGCTTTGGTGACTGTGACATCACAAAAATGGTGTAAACTAGATTTTTTTGCATTTTAATTTCCATGTATGTCCTGTGAGGACTGATGAATGATTGGTACGTTTAGAAACTTGAACAGTCTTTACATCCTACATGAAACAAAAGAAATCAAAATGAAAAAAAAGTTATTTTCAGTGATATGAGTCCTTTAATGCCCATTATCTCTGACTCGTAAATGTATCAATAAATAGAGTTAAAGGACTTCTGCGTTACACTTTTCCTGGCCAGCTGCACATTGATTTTGTGTGCAGAACCTAAATTGTATTTGCTGTATCCGTAGGGAGACTGCAAATTGCAAAACTGATTCTCTCTCTCTCTCTCATTCTAACCCTGCCTCTCTCTTCCTCACTCTGTCACTCCAGGAGGTACCAGATAAAGCCAGTTTGCTCAGAGCTGCAGAGTGAGATTTTGAAATGTTACAAGGAAAATACAGGCCAGACTCTGACTTGCTCCAACATTGCCTCGCTCTATATGCAGTGTGTGGACAACGCTAAACAGGTATACCCCAATTTTCTGCTCTGCTTTTTAAAGGGATGGCTTGGGAGCGATATTTTTCCCTTTGGCCTACTTTTCCATTTGTGCTAACACCTGAGTGCTTTAGAGTTCAGCAAAGAATTCTAATGAAGAGATTGTGATAGTTTTTCTATACTTTGGCACAAAACAGGCTCAGATACATCAGTGTACGAGTGGGTTTAGAAAAAGGCAAAGGTATTTGCTGAAATGATTCACATTCTCAACCTCTTCTGTCTTTCAGAACAAGAAGGTGAGCACAGGTGGTTAATCCTGCTCCCTGGATCAACAGAACTCTTTCTGACTTTCATAAACTCACTGCCTGGAGGAGAAGAGCAATACAACCAAGTTGATACAACCACATCTTATCAGTCTATCTGTTTCTTACTGCAGAGTGGTGTTGAGTGTGGGGTTCAGACATTATCTGATTTAGAAACACTACAAACTGTTTTCATACAGGTGATTCAATGTAATGCAAGTAAGGCACATTGTTCACACACCACTCTGAGGAAAGGGTTTTTGGCACTAAAAGTACATTTACAGTTACAGGAAACAAAGAAGTGCTGTGCCATTTCTCTTTTTTTGTCACGGCTGAAAGAACTGAGCTGGAAGCCTGTTTTTTAAGATAGCTTGAGATAGCGCGTGCCAAGGAGGAAAATGAAATACCTTCATTAAAGAGAGTCAAAATGCCATCTTTTCTGCCTGTGAAATTGTGAGGATTTGTGTCATTTGCAATTTAAAGTAAGTGTGCGAGAGAGTGTGGATGACCTATATTTTGGAGAGAGACTTGGTGTGCCAAGAATCATAAGCGTCCTGCAACGTTTCTCCACAAGGCTGCGCTGTGGCTTAAAGAGTTTCCTTAGCAACCATTCTGAAAAGCCCTCCAGAGTATTCAAGCTTATCAAGGTACTTAATCACTTCGGAATTACTTGACCAGCTTCTTGTTTGCATCTGGAATCAGCGCTGTAGCCGAAGCCATCCGTCGCAGTCATAGAATATGCAATGGAGTATTGAGTTTTCCAAGGAAAGGCTGATAAATCCGATAATCCGGCTGTGGTAGTGAGACCGAGCTGGTATAGAGAGATAGAGTGATGTTTCCTCTCTGCCCTGTGAGATGCACAGAGCTACAGGGCATTGTCCCACTCTGCTCCCTCTATGTGACATGCTATCACACTCTGATAAAGCTGTCGCACATACAATCATACATAAAACAATCACACGATCATGTTCTTGCTCTCACTCTTTTGCACTCTACTTTACATGCATGCACTCACTTATGCAAGCCAAGAGCACTGAAATATGCTTCATCTCTTTTTGTCTTTCCCCTCTTTAGCTGAAAGTGGCAGGAGTGGAACTGCGTCTGACATTTAAGCACTGAGCCTGGTAAACATTAGGTAGGGGGCTTGCTTTGTGTTAATGACCTTTTTTGATTGCTCTGAAAAACAAAAGCTTATGAAAGTCAACAGAGGCCATGTTGCGCAGATTGAATGCCTTATTATGTTTTTTTTCCAAGTGCTGTCAAAATAGGAATGACCTTGATCAGACGAAGAGCTGTGGCATTTTATTGGGCGTGCAGTACACCAGTGCACAAAACAGCTGCGCTCCAAATAGGAAATGGCCCCCTGCGGTAGAGAGAAAAAGATTCTCATCTGCATTTGTCTGGGTGTCTGCATCTTTGTGTGCACGTGTGTGTGTGGTTGTGTGTGTGTGTGTGTGTGTGTGCACTAAACTGACATTGAAGAATCTTGGACAGAGCTTGTTGTGTCTGTTGAAGGGAATTGATTATTGAATTTTTCCCCCCGTAATCCATGCTCCTGTGGGTTAGACAGTGCCAACAGTGAGCCTCCACCTCCTATTCAGCATTGATATTCTCTGTGTGACGCAATACCAGTGTCCCTTGGAGCAAATGCAGGACAGGCCAGTGCCATGTGGCTTACTGTAATATTGATGTGGAGGGTTATCCTAAATTAGACTTTTTTCAATGGGCTCTGAATGCCCTTCATCACTAAAATGAAAACACAAATTTTATGTATTGGATACAGCAATGTCTTTGAATGGAAGAGCTAGCTGGCTGCATATCTGTGGAGACAAAGGGGGTAACTGAGCCTCAAGCCTTTTCTTATGTCCCGCAGTGTTGAAGTGAACCAGACATTTCTCTTGTTTACAGAGGTCAAGTAGCTTTAGACATCATGCCAATTTGCTAATCTTCAAGCAGCATCTGCTGTAAGTTTCTTGGCTACCCGTAACTCTGCTCTATTATGAATTTCGTAGTCCCATAGCATGTTGACCTCTTGGCTCACGCTGCTGTATAATGGCTCGACAGGAGGAAAGGCGGGATGTGAAATAAAACATCGGCTAGGGTCAAAGGTGGGCTGCTTTCCGGTGGACAGAGAAGCAAATTTATCCGTGTTGTAACTCCCAAGACGTTTCCTTTGGCCTAATTTATTACAAATACATGTATATTCAGCCTATAGATTCTAATATCGGTACATAGAGTATTTCATATAGAGTATATATACATCTCCAATATTGACTTATTTACAGTATTACAAAAACATGCAGTGTTTTCTTTTCAGCACAGTGAATGTCATCCTATTGTACTAAATCTGAAGTCCATATAAATAGTAATAAATGAATATTGAACGTCATACGCACATTTAATACACTTCTGTCTACATCACAACCTTGAAGTAGGCTCTTCCCTCTACGAAAGACTGGAGACTTGTTGAGTTTTTGAGGCTACAAGTATATGTCATTGTCTACGCTTTATAATAAGTTCCTAGTCAACATCTTCAGAAGACAAACACTTTTGTCTGGCCTCCTGATCCTCGAACGTCACTTTTTTGTTCCTCTTCGGATCGATCCATGAATTCTTTATGACTGAATTGGTGGGTAGTGGCTCTGCCTCGATGATGGACACCACCCGCTTCTTCATCTTGCTCTTGAGGACCTTCTGGAACTTCTGCCGCGTGAAGGCATAGAGCAGCGGGTGGAAGACTGTGGTGCCATAGGCCATGACCAGAAGGCCCAGGCGCAGCTTGACGGTGAGGTCGCTGGGCCCCGTGCTCAGGATGATGCTGTTCAGCACGGTGATGGGCGTCCAGCACAGCAGGAAGGTGGAGATGATGAGCAGGGACATACGGAAGACGCGCTTCTGCCGCTCGCGCCGCTCCCGGTGCCGCTTGACCGCGCGTCTAAGGGCAATGATTACAGACACTGATGTGCGCATGCCCAATGGCGCCGTAGCCCGGGTTCCAGCACTGCTCTGTGATCCGTCCGCCGTTTCGGGCAGCTGCTGCGGAGAGGCAGCCATTAGTGACATGTCCTTTTTCCACCGTGTCGATGCGTTCGTCTTCTTTTTCTTCCTCTTTTTCTTCTGTGAGCCATGGTGGAAGCGTGTGCCAATGCGGATGTTGAGCGCCTGCAGGATCTTGGAGTAGGTGACCAACATGACCACGGCTGTGAAGCAGAAGATGGGGATTTGGGCCACCAGGTGGTAATAGAGGCCCAGCTCTGTGTAATATTCATTCACGTGCGCCACAGCTGTCTGGTTGGCTACAGTGGGCTCTGGCCCTAGGAAACCTACCTCCACAAAAGGAACGAGGAAGCTGAGAAAGGAGAGGACCCAGATAGCCCCCAGCAACGCGGCAGCACGGCCCATGGTCAGCACACGGTTGGCTGGCTTGACAGAGATGTCGTAGCGATCCAGTGTGATGGCCAGCACATTGGCAGCCGTGGCCACGCTGGCAAAGGACACACAGGCCTCGTGGAAGCAGCAGACAAGCACAGTGTCGCCCTGCAGTGAGAGCAGCAGCACCACGATGGTCAGCGGGATGCAGCACACGCAAACCAGCACGTCCAACACGTGCAGGTTCATGGTGACCAGGTTGCTGACTGAGCTGACCAGGTTCGACTTGGTGCAGTAGAGCGCCAGGACTGTCAGGTTACTGCTCAGGCCTAGCACAATCTCCAGCATGAGGAAGCCGGTGAGTGACACCTGGAAGCTGAGGGGATACGGGTGCGGCTCATCCGCTGCCATGCCTGGGCTTGCGGACTCTGTGATGTCCAAGACTGTGACGTTGCTCATGGTGCCTTCTTCCTCCTGTGCCGAGGGGATAGGCTTGTGCATTATCCTGCACAAAGTGAGGGGAACGGAGGCAGAGTTAGAATGAAAACCAGGAAACAATGGTAGAATACATGGATTCATGCTAAAGGGTGATACTGCTAACCACAGGAGACTATGACAAAGGCTATTGCTACCATGAAGAATAACTTCTAGAAATAATTCTGTTACAAAAATGTCCATGCATGTAGAAGGTTGTATGTGTTGAAGGTGTAGGATGCAAGAAAACTGCAAAGGGCATTGCATGCTCCCTTCATGAAACAGGATATTTCTGATATTTCAAATGTTTCAGGCTCATTAGGAAATGGTACAGAGAAAGCATAAAGACAAAGAAAAATCAAAGAACAACATTAAATTTAGGGCAAAAGAAACAGAGCTAGAGAAACAAATGCTGGTCAATGACTTTAATGTAATAACTCCAGATGAATGTTTAATGACCTTTCAATGCTTTTGAGCGTATAAATCTTGCTCCCTGCACCTTAACATGTAAAGCATTTTCCGAGTATGTCACTCGTGTAGTATAGTCCGAAGATCAGTGCATAACTCAACTTCATTAGATACCTCAAACCACCCACTGCTGTAATGTTGGTTTTATCACAGTATATTTTAAGTTATGTAGTATATATATGCTTTGTGCTGCTTTTGTATTTGACTGCTTGCAGCAATATGTCCGGCATTAGCTCTGTCATACAAAGAGGAAGACTGATAGCAGAGAGATGGTTATGGGGGGGTGGGGCATAAGGATAGCATGTATGATGAAAAGCAGCTTCAAGGTCGCTGCATGAACAATGATGGCCATATACCACTCCAGGTGACATTAAAACTGATGAGGTGTAGTGAGAAGATATAAGACATGTAGTAAAGCCAAGGCAGGATATGCCTGTAGTGTGCCTGTAGTATCCTGTCTGCATGCAGACAATATAGAAGTGCCATCCTCAGAACAACACATTGTCAGAATGTAAGTGGGACTTACCCCTCTCCTGAGCTTTGTCTTCTCTCAGTCTCCACAGTCTGTGGTTGGCCCAGAAGATTCTGGGTGGAGTCCAAGTCGACCATCAAACCCAAGCATGGCTTTTCAAGGAAGTGTTGGGCACCTTGTAATCCTTGTAATCCACCAGAGAAGTCACACCTCCTGGTCTCCAAAACAGCTTCAGCAGGAGTTCTCTTTTAGTTTCTCAAAGTTAGGGTAGCCCTTGGGTTTAGCAGGGAAGAAACCAGTGTCCACCTACCCATCTCACTTTGTTTGCTTAGGTAAGAGTGGAATGGGTGGATGGTAACAGGATGAATGGATTGTGGATAAAACCAGCCTAGTTCTTCTAAACCTACTCCTATCTCACTTCTATAGGGTTGGGCAAAGCAGAGAACTAACAGAGGAATTCGGACAAGAGAGAAAATTTTCAATGTACAGTGTAATCTTACAAATTCGATGTTTATTTTTACATCCACACTACGGCACAAAAATAGCAGCCTCCATTAAAGCCTCAGCTCTTCTTTCATAGACTTTGAAAAGCCCTGCTCCATTTCAAGGTGCCTTCCTGTTGGCTGCGCTGTATTCCCATAATTAAGATTTTATAGACCAACCTTGGTGATAAATGCTCATTGATTTGCTGTTGTTGATTTACATAAGCCTCCACCAAGTGAACCAAGGTCAAAGAACTGGCGAGGTCAGCAGTTGTGTGAGTGTGGAAGGGTCATTTCCAAGACCCCTTGTTAACAGTGACCTTTCGATCCTTTTATACCATTGCTATAATGAATTGTAAATCCATGGCACTCTAGGGATCAGTGATCGAAAATAAGCGTATAGTCATTTGTTACTGTGAATCCGTTCTGTTTGTGCATGAAAATAGTGGTGTGTTCCAGTGTATGAGTAGATTCGGTAGCTCTGTTCAAAGGCTGGTTGACCTATTCAGTGGGTAAATGATGAGTCCTTTAGCCATGGCTCCTGGCTTGGCGATTGTCCATTGAAGGATTGGACCAGAGCTTGTGTGGACCATGCAGTGCCTCAAAAGCAAAATCCCCCTCAGCTCCATTCCCCCCAGCACCCTGCCAAAAGAAGACAGAGCAGAAGAACCTAGATGAAGAAAACAGCCTGCGTTAAGCCTGTCGCCAGACCTCGACATGTAAGCGCTGCCGTGCATTAGCTGAACATGCTCGTACCGCAGGCTGATGAAGTGCATTGCCTCTGGATTTGATTATAGTCCGTGTTAAGGTAAGGGAAGGGACAGCTGCAGAAGATAAGGACCAGAAGCTTGCATTTACTGTACATGCTGCACAGCTTCCAAATCAAGACCCAAGTCCTTTTTAGGGAAGGCGTATGTGCTCCAAAACTGTGGAACAATATCTGTCTCACTGAGTGTTGTTTTCATTTTGCACTCTTGGTTTTCAGAATGTGACATTGTCAATTTTCAAATTGTGATGTAAGGTGGATTAGGTTCGAGGTTGATTTAGGGATTTCTAATTTTGGATTAGATGTGAGGGTTTTTTCCCATCTCAGAGATGATGGTGCTGTTAAATAGAAAAGGGGAGTGTGAACAGACAGTTTGCCCCAAATACTACAGCCTTTGATCAGAGCAAACACAATTGGAAGCTGAGCACAAGCAATCCAATTTAGAGCTGAAGATTGGTTAGCTGAAAATGTGGATTGCTGTATTAGGGAGCTGATGAAGACTTGCTTTTTAGTGTACTACAAGAGGCTTAGCAGTCAACTGCAAAATCATATAAGACTCAGGCAAACAGCTTGCTGCTAGAAATGACTTCTGTTGCATCTGTGACTTCTTTTTCTCCCCCCTGTATCTTGGAAAGAGGAGATGGTGTATCCATGGGAACCCAAACTCATGTGCTGTGCTTACGGCTAAATATATCAGTTCTCAGCAAAGTGACTTTCTAAGATATGACTAATTATCAACACAAATGTCCGTTATGAAGAACAGCCAAGGTTGTTGATGTCACCAACTTACCTCTGTGGACGGAGACTTGCAGCAGGTACCTGCTCTCCCAGCCGCCTCACCGATTCCCAGATGATCTACGGATACTTGTGTCAGAGACTACATATTGATAAGCTCCTTGAGGGTCCGGTTCGGTAAAATCCCAGAATTCCCTGAGGTGTCCAGAGTTGCCCCTGGAGAGGAGCATTAAACAGAGGAGGTGTAAACATTCAAAGTCTCTTTTCCTCATCCACGTGAACTGTCAAGAGTGCCAAGAAAATGAGAATGCACAGGCAAATAGAAACAGTCCTCCCACTTTCATTCACTGTCCTTCTTTTTCTGCTTTCTATCTCTATCCCCTCTTCTCTCACACATATACACATAATCAAACACACACTCTCCTTTCTCTGTCTCTCTCTCTCTCCCTCTCTCTCTCTTCACTCTGTGGTGTGTGTCAGTGGATATGTGAGCTTGGCTCATCTACCCCAGCACGCTGTTGCACTCTCTCATCCTCACTCCTACTCTCTCTCTCTCTCTCTCTCTCTCTCTCTCTCTCTCTCTCTCTCTCTCTCTCTCTTTTTCTCCCTCTCACTGCGGAGGTTTTGCAGTGCTACTCTCCGTCCTGATTGGTTTGTTGTAATGGGGTTAACCCTTTTGTCTCCGGTGAGTGGAAGGCACTCTTGCTTTTGTTTTTTTTTTTTCCTTTTGCCATTCTCGCCGTGCTTTAATGGATGTGCGGTGAGATGTGGATGCGTGTAAAGCTTGCAGTATTGAGCACATGATATTGCATTTTGCTGATATTTTTTGCGTCTTTACTTCATCAGCAAAATGAATAGGTGTCCTCAGGGGTAAAGGGGACGAAAGGGAGTGCTGATGACTGATGAAGAGATTACTTTTAGTGAGTGTGTTTGTACACACGTGTGTGCATCTGTATGTGTTTGCGTGATTGTATATGATGTGTGCGTGCACTAATACCAAGAGGGTATCTGATTGATAGCTTCAATTACGTTGGCCTGTCAGTTGGCAGAGGGACCAGTCAACCTCAATTCATTTTGTTTGGCTCATTTGCCAGGTGAGATAAAAGCTACGGGGGTGGATCCCATAGCTAAAGAGACAGTTACAGCACGCTTGTGTGTGTGAGAGTGTTCAGAGTTTGATTTAAAGCTCTGCTAGCTGTAAACCCACGTTGTTCTTCCACCCACTCTTGGCTTTCTCCAACAGGAGTTCCGTGCCTTAAAGTAGGCGTGCAAAGATCTCACCATGAACAGCACCAGCACTGCTGTTGATCAGCATTAGATAGAGCTATACTCGGTACTCAGCAAATACATGATATCTTAGCAAGTGAAATCTAGTCAATACATCTAATATTTCTTATTGTAGGATTGTTCAGCTGAGAATATTAGAATTTTATGAGATCATTCTAGACATTTTAGCTTTATTCATTTTTATCTAATGAAATGATCTTATTTCATTTAGAGATAATTCTGCTTGTTTCAAGAAATAACACCTGAAACCAAGCAAATTATCTGCTGAGATAACATTCTTGTGTAAAACAAGTAAAATATGTCCAGAAATAGATTAAAAAATCTTATTATAATATTCTCACAACCATCTCATAATGAAAAATATTATCTATTCTTATCTATTTAAATCTTTCGACTATATCGGTTTTCAGTTTTTGACATAATTCAACAATGCCTGTTGCCCTTTACATTGTGTCAAAATTTCAAGATGAACAGACCAAAAAAAAGGTCTGGTTCTATTGACTTACATTAAAGGTAAAGTATGTTTTTTCCTTCTCCTGTAAAGTTACCATTTTGGAGATACGAGGTTTTGTTCCAGCAACAGCGATATATATATCTAGATTTCTTCTTATAGGTTATCATTTTTAGATTGTTTCCTTTTTTGTCCATGTGCACACAAGTGCTGTTATGTATTAGTTGTTCATTGATCTAAGTATATCAGCGTGTGTGTATATTTATATACTGTGCGTGTTTATGCACGGTACACGTGTGTTTCAACAGTGGTAAGAAACAGCTTTTAGGGTCTCTCAGGACCTTTCTGGAGTGCAGGTGGTGTATTATTAAGTGGCAAACATTCTTGTATAGAAAGGCCAATGCACTCTCCCAAACTTTTCACTAAAGAGAGACTCAATATTTCATTCTCACATTAATATTTCAGCTGGATTTTTCCTGCAGTCCCCAGACACTCCTGACTGATATTCTGTTATTCTGAGTCATTTTTCTTGCCTTTGCTGTTCCGCAATGAGTGTTGGTGAGTGAGAGAAAGAGGGAGAGAGAGAGAAAGAGAAAGAGAGAGTGAGAGAGAGCACTAGGGGACAGCAGCAATATTCTTACTGTATATGTTCCATCACGTGCAGTAAGTGGTGAATGAATGAAGCTGATTGTCCAGGTTGGAGAATGAGAGAAGACAATGATGCACATTCCTCAATAAGCACTCCTAAAAATAAAGCTGCCAGTGAGAGTTCTTTGGAGTAATGCCACAGGATAACCACGTTTGGTTCCCTAAGAGCCTTTTGAATGGTTGATTCTTTAAATGAGTGAATGAGTGTGAGAAAATGGTTTTAAATTTTAACGAACCTGCACTTAATAAATACATTTTATTGCAGTTTATTGCATGTTTCTCTTATTAATGTACATTGACTCTAAGAACCATTTATAAACCTTATGAAACCACATAATTGAAAGGTTCTTCAAGGAACAAAGTGTTTTTCTTTCTCTTTCTTTCTTTCTTTCTTTCTTTCTTTTTTTGTCGGTATAATAAAACCTTCTTAGTACCCATACTTTTAAGAATAAAAGTTTTCTATAACAGAAATAAAAATGTTTTTTTTTCCCGAGCAGTATTTTCTTTTTCGTGGTGTTTTAAGCAGTTCTTAATTCAAAAATGTAAATTTTGTGTCTTACTTTTCATTCCACTTTTTATTCTACACACTGCCTGGCTATGCTTTTACGAGTAAAGGTTCCTAAATGGTTTCCAAACTTAACTTGCAAAATCCTTACAAGTCTCACCTCCCTTAGTTACTGTTGTTATGTCTGTCAAACAAAAAAGTAGAACAAATGTATAGAAGCACACAGAGGAGTATATTTAAAAACATTACTCGTTATTATATTTATATGATTATTATTCAGAAACTAAGCTGGCTTTGCAAGATGTTCAGCGCAGACAAATATTTGAGAACTGTCAATATGAATGTAGGCCAATACAAAGCAAAAAAAAGGGTTCTGAAAACCATATTTACATTAATCAAACCAGGGAAATCTTAGCCTGTGGTTGGTCTAATAAGGAGAAGGTTTGAGCTGCGACTTCAGATAAGGTAATGCTAAAGCGAGCACTAAAGCTAACACTGGGGCTAGTCGGTGCTTTGTTGAGGAGAATTCTGTCTTGTGCACAAGATCTGTTATCAAACATGCAAAACAATACAAATGATGGCATGTGTTGTTAATATTTATCTTTCTACAGAGTGACTTTAATCACAAATGTGAGCACTCGTGTGTAATCTGCCTAACAACCTAATTGTCAGCAGCTCAGTTATGAAAAGCTATCTGATCTGAACATTATGACATTATCATTCATCATTTTAACATCATATTAAAAGGAGTATTAACAAAAACAGCACCCCAGATAAAGTTAGCTGACCTTAGATCCAATATAAGTGTGCCTGTAAATAGTTTTGAATTACAGGCTTCTCAAATGACATTTTTGCATCTCTTATTCTAATCATTATAACCAATTTATTGCTACTGTCGTTCTCACCGCAGGTTTGTTCTGAGAAGTTTTGTCGAAGTTTTCCTTAACAGCAGACGTAGCACTTAGATAAGGCTGTAATTGGCTGAAAGGCATTTAAATCATTATCTTGTGAGCAGTCTATTGGTGTAGAATCTATACATCATGCAGACTTTAGAGAGGGTCTTTACATTCAATCATCGCCTTTACAGAATGCTTTAGAAAGGTTCTCTAGTGGCATTACTCCAAAGAACTCTTTTTGGCACTGTTATTTGTAGTCACATTTCATGACTCATAGAAATTCTACACATCCTGAGCATTATTACTGTTCATGAACACACATGTAGCTCAGATTGTATTTGGTAGCCTTCCAGTAAGAACCTGGATAGCATGTTAAATGAGGAAATAATAACATGTTTCCTTGAATATTTTAAAAGAAACTTCTTCTTAGATCTTAGATCCTGAAATTTTTTGTCAATCCCTGTTGAAAGCAGGGCAATTTATTTCTTCACAGTTTAAGCCTGTGGTCCATCCACAGCCACACTGGACATGCCGACAAGTCGAGTTTTTACATTCCCAGGAAACTAGTTAGCGATTCTGCTGCAGTCGAGAATTTGTTCGACCTTGCTTTTGATTTTGTCAGATCCACAGCCTGCTGGAGTTCTTGTTGCAGAATGTGAGAAGAACTGGAGAAGTTCATGTGCATGTTTTATCAGTGGGTCTGTGATGAGTCAGCTACAGAGCGAGGCAGGGAGGCCAGCAGTGGGCCTTTTATCTCTTCCCTGCAGTGGCTCTCCTGTGCTCTGAAGCCTGGGCCTGCGCGATCCCCAGTAGATTAGCCGCCCGCTAATAGAGCTGCCTGCCTTTTGTATTAGTGAAGAGGCCGACTGTGTTTTAATCAGCGGGCACTTAATACCCGCTGTAAATCTGACTGTACTATCTGAAAGAGCCAGCCCTGGAGTGAGGGGGGCTGAGACAAGAGAGGAATGACATTTTAAACGCGGGAGAGTGGGACTCGGGAAATATTTTATTCCACTAGAAGTGTTTTTGTTACGGTATTCATTTGGTTCTTTTTTTATTAGTGGATCTGAGTGAGCGTTGTCGAGTCTAAAATGACATAAACCCTCTGCTTGTTTCTCAAGAACAAAATAAAAAGTCCTAGAGCTGAACATCACTTACACAATTTCATTAATATGCTCTTTGAGCATATTAGCACCTAAACCTGTCGGTGATTTGAATGATTACTTTTTATTGTTTTTACTCTACTTTCTCTCTCTTTTTCTCTCTCACTCTCACTCTCTCTCTCTCTCTGATACATGATTCATTCGACACTCAACATCCTGTCGTTCCTGTTGTTCGTTGTGACATTTAATAGTGCTTCCTCTTTCTCTCCGCTAAAAGCCAAACATGAGTACTAATATGACTGGGAATTGAAAAGGTTCATAGCTGGAGGGGAAAACAAGATAAACAAAAAGGAAATCACCAAACAAGAGTTGTAATCCTTTCTTGGATCTAAAAAGAAACATTCCTTATAAGTTTTAACCTCCTAAATTGGCTAAATTGGAGTGAATCCATTGCTGAGAGGCTGAGAGATTGGCTTTCGGGAAGTGCAGCACGTCCTGCTTCAGTAAGCTGTGTTTGTGTTGGGGTGTGAGGGAGCAGGGGAAGGCGTGGGAAAGGTCCGGCTGCTCCTAGCGCTGCAGCGCCTGCTGCAGGGGGCATGCTCACAAGGTCATCAACACAACCCCCCCCCCTCCAGCCTCATCTTCCTGGGCCAAATGCACAGTCATGCCTG